ATGAATCTCTTGTTCGATGAAGTCGAGTTCGAGTTCAAATGGAGTGCGACGTTCTTCGGCGCAGAGGAGACGATGAATATCAAGTTGAAGATCCCATACCTCGAGCTGGGCGCTGAGTTCAAGAAGCTGGAGCACCCCTTCGAGCTCGATCGGACCTGGAGCGATGGCCTCGAGACTTGGAGCCTCGGCGACCGCGAGAAGAAGTACAACCAGGCCATCGCGGACACGCTGAAGGCCCTCAAGCCCAGTGGATCTGCGACCGAACCGGTCTCAGAGGAGTGGCGTCGCATCGCTGACCACATTTTGTGATTTTCGCGCATTCGGCGCGCGGCCGAAAGTGTGTGTTCATATAGAGTCCAGCACCGACTGCGCCCTGGTCGCCGAGGTGGAAGCCTCGAGGTGTCCCCTACCCCGCTACGCTCCACTCCTCAACTCATCAATCCCCCCTCCAATCCTCAATCCTCAACTCCTCAATCCACAGCCCCTCGCGGGCCCGGCCGGGCTGCGGGGGGGGGCGCTCCAGGCTCGCCCGCGCGGGCGCAGCCGTCAGGGCGCCGTCCAGCCTGCCATCCAGCGGCCCGCCATCGCCGCGCCTGCCAGCAGCGCGCGCACCCCCTCAGCCTTCTCCTCAGATTCTCCTCATCCCTCCTCCTCCTCCTCCTCCTCCTCCTCCTCCTCCTCCTCCTCCTCCTCCTCCCTCGCCTTCGGTACTCGGCGGCCCGAGTCAAGAGCCAACTAGACTAGAGCCCACAAGCGAGGCTCTCAGGCCCTCGGGATCGTGCAGCTATGCGCCCCCAGGGCGGCCTGCAGCACAGCACTACTCGCTGGATCTCGCAGGGGGGAAGGGGGGGAAGAAGCCCGATCGGGCTGAGTGGACTGGGGCTCGGGGAGGCCGAGACTAGCGACCAGTTTTTGCCAGTGCGCCTTGTGGGTTTAGGCGCAAGCTCTAGCTGTCAGTGCGCGTGCGCATGCGTGTGCCACGTGTACCCAACGAAGTGAGATACGCGAGAACAGTGATGACTGTAAAAAACGATCTGGGACAGCTCGGAAAAGCTGGGGCCCATCCGACTCCTAGGTCACCCCCAGGGGCGCGAGGATATTTGTGCATCCGGCCTGGGCCGGCGAGCCGGGAGAGCCGCCCTGCCCTTCTCGGCGCGAGGGCGCGATGCGCGAAGTTAGGTGACCTAATGCGCCCTCAACTCTCCTGGCCCGCACCGCCTGCGCGGACGGCCGCGCGCGCCGCACGGCGGCCCTTGCAGGGGCGAGGCATGGGGCGAATCCGAAGGGGTGCGAGCGAGTCAGGAGGGGGCCGAACGATTCAGGTTGATCTCACCTGCTATCTTCACCTGAGTCGCCCCCCTGACTCGTTCGACCGCCCTTCGGAGTCGCCCGATCCCTCTTCTCGGAGGCGGGGGGTCGTGGAAGAGGAAGGGGGTCAGGAGTTGCGGGATCGAAATCCTCGATCCTCCTCTCCTTATTTATTCACCAGCCTACTCCCGCCTTCCCCATCCCCCATCCTTCTCATCCTAGCCCTCCTCCTTGCTCCCAGCGGGTCCGCCTGGCCGCAGCGGCTGGGCGGGGTGGCGGCGGCAGCCCGCCCGAGCCGTGCGGCCGAGGGGGCGAGCCAAGACAGTTGCGGTCAGCGGGGGGAGAGCGAGGCCGTCCGTCCTTCGCTTCTCTGCCACCGTCCTCCTCGGACTCCAGGTGACTCCGGGGAACAGGGGGCCCCTCCAGGATGGGGAGGGGGGGGGGGCACCTTCTTCTGGCCACTCCCAGGGGCGCGAAGATAACCGCGCGCCGCGGCCTGGGCTGGAGAGCTGCCCTACTCCAGTGTTACCCAGGACTGCCGCGCTGGGGCGCGAAGATAATAGCGCGTCGCGCATCGCGGGGCGCGACCCGCGAGCTTCAGCCCCCATCCCCCGTCATTTTCTCAGCGCTCCGATTTCGGTGCCCCTCGAAACCCCGCCCCTGCCGCTGCAGCTGTCTGTGGTCCGAAGTCACGCCAGGAGCGCGTCGCGCAGCGATCTCTTACTCCTTGTCGTTTCGGCAATGCTCGCTCTTCGCGACATGGGGGACACGGACACGGACGCCCCCCGCAAGACAGATCAGCAGAAGCTCGACGAGTTCTTTGAGAGGAGGGAGCGGGCTAGCATACCCCATGGGGCTTGGGGGAGAGAGCCACAACTTTACAGGTACAAGGTGGACCAGCATCGGAAGCTCGCGTGGGTTTCCACTGGGTTCCCTGGGCCGCCTTTCTCACCCAGCACAGAGTGGCCCGACTGGCTCCTTACGCACCCGCACTGCGTTGCGACTAGGAATTTGACGCACTGGGGGGCTGGTCACGACGGCGGGCCCAGGTCAATCGGGCCTCTCCCGAGAGAAAAACCGCAATGCCCTGTTACCTTGCCCCCGGCTTGCGCCCGATGCCAGACCCTGACCCCGAGTCCCCATATTATTCCTCCTTCTCCTCTGTATCCTTCTTCCTCCTGCTCCTCCTCCTCCTGCTGCTCCTCCTCCTCCTCCTCCTGCTCCTCCTCCTCCAATCCTTCTGCCTTCTGCCGTTGCCGCAACGTTGCCTGCCCCCCAACTTGGGGGCGGAGGGGGGTCGGGGTCGGGCAAAGGTGTCGGGCAGACTGGCGGGGGGCGGGGGGTTTGGGAAGGGGGGGGGTCTCAAACCCAGAGGTGCTTTCACAGCAGTCATATCTTTTGGCAGTATCGCACTGTGCTCTTCTGCCAGAATTGCGGAGAGTGGACCAAGGATACTAACAAGCGCAAGCTTGTGGATGCCTGCAAAGGATCTCGGGAACAACTTCGCTACACCCCCCCCTCGCTCCCCCTCTCCCTCTCCTGTGCCCCCTTCCCCCTCGCCTTCGACGGCCTCTTCGGTAGTGAAGTGAACCAACCCGCTGGGGGGGAGGCGGGCCCGAGGGCCCACAGACATTAAGGAGAAGGGTGGAGGGCAGGGGGGCTGGGATGAGCGGGGCGCCCCCGAGGTTGGTACGATACTGACGTCCCGAAGAAGTACCGCAAGCTCGAGGACCTGGCCCAGGGCAAATTCCCGTACCCGACGAACAAGCCCGACCCCTTCGGCTGGGACCAGCGCGTCGCTGGCCGTCGTTCGAGCATCAGCATCGGCCCGGCGGAGCGCGCGCCACCGCCACCGCCGCCGCTGCTGAGGCTGCCGCAGATCCAGATCCCTGGGTCCCCTGAGGCTGAGGAGGCTGAGGCGGCTGAGGCGCCCCCGCAGGGTCAGCAGAGCCCGCAGGGCCCGGGCCCTGTGCAGATCCGCATCCTTGTTGCCGCTGCGGACGAGTGAACCACTCAGCTTGTCGACTGAGGTTCTCTAGGTAGGTCTAGGTAGCTTGTCACCACCCACCAGACCACCCCAACCCAACCCGAAGGCTCAGATTTACACTCGATTTCCAGTTAGGGGGGGGTCGGGAAACATCGAAAAAACACGTGTGGAACCCTTATCCCCCCCAACCCGAAATTCGGGTCTTCGGGTTGGGTTGGGGTGGTCTGGTAGGTAGTCAGCTTGCACATTTGCCATTTCAGTTGGCATACAGGGGCCTCTTGCAGCCTCTTGCATCCACCACCGTCCCACTTCGCAATCTCCGATCCCCTTGCCCTCTTCCTCCTACTCCTCCCCCTCACCCCTCTCTCCCCTCCCTCCAACACGCGTCTCTCAGCCCGCGGAGTCCGCAGTCCCCCTAAGGCCCTCAGGCTACTACATCGGTCGGCTCTTTCCTTTTTTCCATCGGCCCATCGGCCCCCCAGGTAGTGTGTATACTAGTTGGTCGGAGCCCTGGCGTAGGCGCAGGTACAGTACGGGGTCTATGAGGGTCGAAACCCCCAACGGCCTGTTGTCGCGCCCAAGCGACGCGCTGGCAAGCTGGGCGGACGCCCTCAGACAGGGAAAGCTGGACCCCCAGCTCGAACTAAGAAAAACAATGATAGCAATGCTATGCTTAGCAATGCTCCCTCCCCAACTCCGTACTCACTTGCCGCCGCGGCCGCCTGCTCTCTATCCTTTCCCCTCCCCCTTCCCCCGTTTCCTCGGCCCTCAAGTGTCGAAAACCTCCTGGGCCTCAGGCCGGCCCCGATGGCCTGCTTTATGATGCGGTCGGGGGCGCATCTACGCATCGATGTTTCACAGCAAACTGTGTTTGACAGTCAACTTTATAGCTTTATATATTTATGAAACTGATAACGGCGTGCGCTCTCGACAAGCTCGTGAGTGACCATCGTTCCGCGTGCTGAGGTTGTACTGTGCGCCCTTGCAACACATAAAACGTAATCCAATCCTTGAACTTTATTCAAGAATCGCGCTCTGGCTGGGGACTTCCTCTCACTTTATTGAAGGATCGCGCTCTCGCCTGATACTTCCTTGCAATGTATTCAGGCGCGGCGCCTTCGACAATCAGAAATCGCGCTCTCGTTTTATAAGTTCTACCGTGTGCTGCGTCCGTCATTCATAAGCTGTAGTTTATTATTATAGAGTGTGTGACTACATCCCAATTGTTTCATCATATTAGAATATCACATTCCAACTCCAGCGGCCTTCAATTTAGAACCCTCGCCGTTGAATGATTCCTTCAACGCAAGGGGGGCCCCAACCCTTATCGATCGAACCTGAACGACCTGCTTGTGCACATCACTAGCGGAGGACGAGGAGTCGGGGACGGAGGTCGAATGACGGAGACGATGAGGCGGAGGACGACGAGGTGGGGTTGTTTGCGAAGGACAAAAGGATGGGGGAGGGACGGAAGAGGGGGATGCGGGGTATGAGGGAGAGCAGGAGGAAGAGATCGTGGGACTCAGGGGGGAGGAAGTGCAGGAAGGAGAGGAGGATGTGGTGGGGGTGGCCAAGGGGGCTGCGGCGGGCAGGGCGGGGGTCGGGGAAGCACGCATCCCCCTTGCGCATCCCCCAGTCCGCACGGCCAACCCACGTTGTGCGCTGCGCTTGCCTTGCCACGCATCGGTCCTGACCCCCGTTGCAGGCTTGCCAGATGGACGTGCGCCTCGGCTCGATGCAGGCGACTCGTGCTCGCAGACAAAGAAGGGTCGGCTATGCGTGTCGTGGAACATTGCGCAAGCCTAGCAAGCGATTGGCTAGCGCTTTGCGGCGATGATGACGTTGACGCGGCGTGCGAAGATGGTGATATGGAAGAGGGGTAGCAGCATAACGGTGTGCATGGATACAAGGGTGTGGATGAGGAGACGACGAAGGATGCGGAATGTGCGATCTCAGAGGTGTTGGAGGGCGAGAAGGAGGAGAGGCACGTGAAGAGCGTACATACATTGCCGTGATGGTGATGGTGGTGGCGATGGCGACGGCGACGTTTACAGCGATCACAATCGTGTGCGGATGATGGTGAAGATAGCGGTGAATACGGCGACGACGACAGTGAGTATGATCGTAACATAGACAAATATCTGTCAACCATACGTTTTCGACCCTCCGTGCGGATTTCTGGGGTCGGCGCTGGATCTGGCTGGCGGCGCCAGGTGACCTGCCCCTGGCGCGCTCCGCGCGTCTGGGGAAGGGGGGTACATCGCCACCGACCCCAGGAATCCCCGCGATCGTCCGACAGTTAACGTATGTGTTATGCCGCTTTTTTGTTCTGTTCTGCTGACACTGCCTCGGTAGACGCGTCCTTCTAGAATTGGCTCGGACGAGCGGGATGGACTAGGCAAGGGGCCGGTCAGAAATAGTCAAAGATGGTAGGATGACGATTTCTCTATTATTTGTTTTTGAATATGTTTGATTAGTTTTTGACTATTGTGGGTTTGTCATCCACAATCCGCCTGTAGGGAGACATGCCCGACCTAAGCCCGGGGCGACCTTCTGTGTCCCTCGCCCCAAAGGCTTCCTGGGGCCCAGGACGACCCAGATCTCCGAGCTGCGAAGAGGCAGGGCCCCTTTGAGCAACAGGACATTCAAGCAGTGGCGAAGCGTCCTGGCGTGCCTACAGTCCTACCAAACAATGTTCTAAGACGCTGCTGTGGTTTTCACAAGATGTTCTTAACACATGTTTATGTTTGGCGGAGTCTGTCTTGTTTCAACACATCGGGGTTATGTTCTAAGAACAGCGTTTCTGTTCTTAGAACATTTGTGGGTCCTAAGAACATGCCGTGGTAGGACTATAGGAATGCCGGGACGGTCGGTCCCTGCTCAAAATCGACTAGACGTAAGAGTGACCTTTCGCCGTAGTGACCTTTGGTGCGGGCACAGATTGGCCCTCAGATGGCTGAAAACGAAGCGGTAGCAGCGGCTTGCGCGCCCAGGTTTGGTCTCCCCGCGGCCCCCAAAAAGCTGCGCACCCAGGGTCACTCTTGCGTGTAGCCGGCCGACAAAAGACATGGAGCGCTCGGGGTCACAAGGTTGCGACCGCACAAAAATCTGCAACACACTCGGCGTTTTTCTTCTTCGATTCTGATCTCCGGGGCCCGCTTTCGGGCCTCGAGGCCATCAATACCCCCAGCGACTGGGTCGGAACGTCGGGCGTTGCGCACTGGAAAAATCACACCGTCGGATGTCGGTGGGCGGTGCCACGGAACCTCCTGCTGAGGCCTCCCAGATCGGGTTCGAGTTGCTGAGGTCGGAGGATCGCGCCGCATCGCCGATGCCTCGGCGATGCGGGTCGATGTGGCCGAGTTTTTTCACGCCGACGGCTCTGACGTATCGCCGAGGCATCGCGATGCATCGGCGATGCATCGCCGACGCGGCGCGATCCTCCGACCCCATCTACTCGAAGCCCATCTAGGAGGTATTTCTGGTGGCCCTTCTAATTTCAGGAAAAAGCACCCCGACCCCGACAATCGGCGTTTCCTGAACAGCATTGGGCGTTTACGAAACAGCCCTGCCCTGTTCGATCGCTTCATTGGGCGCGCTTACTAAAGGCTTCTCTTGGCAGGTTGCTTACAGTGGAGGCCCATGCCAAGACACACCCTGCTTGCATCCAAGGTGCCCTGGGTTTCTTGGGTCTCGATGGTCTTGCGATGGAAAGCATGACGTCCCAACACCACAAATCCATGGGCGTCCTGGGGCCTCAGGCTTGGGGTGTTCTTGTGGACGGTTTCTTGTGGACTGGCCTCCACCGTATTCTGAGGGTGGTTATGAGAAAACACACACACCCCGACCTCGACAATCGGCGCTTCCAAAGAAGTATCGGGCGTTCACTAGAAACAGCCCTGCCCTGTTCGATCCCTTCATTGGGCGCGCTTACTAAAGGCTTCTCTTGTCAGGTTGCTTACAGTGGAGGCCCATGCCAAGACACACCCTGCTTGCATCCAAGGTGCCCTAGGTTTCTTGGGTCTCGATGGTCTTGCGATGGAAAGCGTGACGTCCCAGCACCACAAATACATGGGCGTCCTGGGGCCTCAGGCTTGGGGTGTTCTTGTGGACGGTTTCTTGTGGACTTGCCTCCACCGTATTCTGAGGGTGGTTATGAGAAAACACACACACACCGACCTCGACAATCGGCGCTTCCAAAGAAGCATCGGGCGTTCACTATAAACAGCCCTGCCCTGTTCGATCCCTTCATTGGGCGCGTTTACTATTGACGTCGTTTGTCGTGCTGCTTATCATGAGGTTGGTTTCCAGGGAAACGAAAAGGTACCGGTGACGCTACTCCCTGGACTTCTCCTGGGGTGCGTTCTGACCAGAATTGCGAGGCGAATCCAGCGGTGGCGACGAGGGCCTCCAAGGAGGCCCAAGAAGGCGAAAACGGACGGAGGGTAGCGGTATCGGCACCTTTTCTTCCTCCGAGTTCTGTTGCCCTATCAAATTGTCAGCGGTTTGGGATGCCTTCTTGGCCAGGCCGTGTCAGCGATTGAATCGAAGCCCTGGCGTTCGCGCGTGGCACGCTTTCATCATGGTGGCATTGATTCCGGCATCCCGGAACGGTGGCACGTTGGCGCTATGGGCACGATCGTGTGCAGTGCACGCCCGTGGTCGAGGCGCGACCAGGAGCGTCACGCCAGGGTGCCGCCAGAACAGTCATTCTCAGAAAGCGCGGGCCTGACGGAAGGGAGGGGTTCGGAAGGGGAGGGGGGTGCGGAAGCCGTTGTGCGCAGCTGCTCACGGCCCCAACACCGAGCACCGCGAGGCGCCGGGAAGACCAGCTACGACAGCTTCGCGTCGTGTCGACCAGCGGCGACCCCGCTGTCGGCGTTCAGCGTTGAACGCCGCCGGCGACCCAGAATCGGTCGAAGTTTATCGGAGCCGACGTTTCGGGAACGGCCGATCGTTCAAGGGAGGCGGAAGTTGGAACATCTGCATTGCCAGTGGTGGGCTGTTTTTGAACCCCAAGACTTTTTGCGGGTCGGGGACGACCTCGGGGCGTTGTGGTGTATACTCTTTCCATGCTTTTTTTCTTGGGGAAACAACGAAACATGTATACACAATCCCGTATACGCCAGGATCAGTTCGCTTGTGCGAATTTCACAATGCGAAAGAGCGTCGGTGTATAGAGTTGGGCTCTTTGAAGATCCGAGACTGGCGCCCTCCCAACAGTTGTCGGGGTCCTTCTTCAACATTGCTGACTGCTTCGCGATCGTGATCATGACGCCCCTCGCGGTGGACTGGCCAGTTCCTTAGAGTACCCTCGTCGCGGCCTCGTGCTTCTCTTGAGCAGCGGGGGGAGAGGAGGGAGAGAGAGAGTGAGGAGGGAGGAGGGAGGAGGGAGGGAGGGGAGGAGGGAGGAGGAGGAGGGAGGAGGGAGGAGGAGGAGGAGGGAAGGAGGAGGAGGGAGGAGGGAGGAGGAGGAGGGAGGAGGGAGGAGGGAGGGAAGGAGGGGAGGAGGAGGAGGAGGAGGAGGAGGAGGAGGAGGAGGAGGAGGAGGAGGAGGAGGAGGAGGAGGAAGAGAGAGACAGAGATAGACATCGGGTCGGACGAGAGCGGGTCGTTAGGGAACGGGGGGGGCGTCGGCCCCGCCGCCCGGCGCAGTCCTCGGAGCAGGGGCGCCTGCGGTGCTGGGAGGCGCCGGGCAGGCCAGTTGCCTGAGGTAATTCGCCAATTAAGCCCACTTTCGCTGTCCCCCCTTCGTCCGACCCGAAAAAGAGAGAGAGAGAGAGAGAGAACGATACATTTATATATATATATAGATATATATATATAGAAAGAGAGAGAGAGAGAGAGAGAGAGAGAGAGAAAGAGAGAACGAGAGAGAGAGAGAGAGAGCGAGAGAGAGAGAGAGAGAGAGAGAGCGAGAGGCAAAATGAGAGAAAGAGAGAGAGAGAGAGAGAGAGACACGCGACACGCGAGAGCGTCGAGGAATGCTAGCATAAACCGCAGGATTGTGGTTGCGACTGTGCGATCTGTGCCGCCTCCCTCAGTCGCGCCCGTGGTGTTGCGTAATCCTGCGGTTCTTGTGGACACTGTTTTTTTCCGTTCTGTTGACATTCCGACCTCTTCCCCTCAAGAAGTATTCGGGTCAGGTTTCTCGGGCGTTCGCCCGCCACCCTCTTCTCTCCTTCTCCTCCTGCCTCCCCTCCTGCTCCTCCCCTCCTCCTCCCCTCCGCCTCCCTCCTCCTCCGCCTCCTCCTCCTCCGCCTCCTCCTCCTCCTCCTCCTCCGCCTCCTCCTCCGCCTCCTCCTCCTCCTCCTCCGCCTCCTCCTCCTCCCCCTCCTCCTCCTCCTCCCCCTCCCCCTCCCCCTCCCCCTCCCCCCGCGGGCGCCTCCTGGGCGCCCCCTGCGCTGGCTGGTGGGGCCCCGCCCCCTCTGGTGGGCGCCGGGCCGCCGCCCGTGGACCCACCGCGCGGGTGCCTCCCATGTGCGGTGGCTCGGCTCCCCGAGCTGTGTTCGCCCCGTGGCGTCGCCCGCGGGCGCCTCCCTGGGCGCCTCGTGCGCTGGCGGGGCCTTTCGCGGCGCCGTTGCCGTCGCTGCGGCGGGAGCTCCGGGACCGCGGCGGCCACGCTGGGAGGCGCATGTCCATCAGGAGCGAAAGAAGGACGTACACGTACATGAATCCACGCTGGTTTCGAGAGTACGCATTGCGCAAATGGTCGTATAACGCGGCTGGTCTCGTGGAGCGAGGGGCCGTGTTCATGTACATAGCTGGGCGCGTACGTCCTTGGTGGGCTCCCTAGTCCAGGGCGGCAGGACCGACTGCCGGCGCGGGGGCAGGCGCTGCTGCTCCTCGGCAGCGCAGCAGAGTTCGCCGCCTATCAGCTGCGCGCCGCATCGCGCAGCTTCCAGAGGTGCCCGACGAAGTCGGGCGCCGCCCCCAAGCGCCTGCGGCCTTTCGTGAAGTCGGGCTCGTCCTTCTACAGGAGGAGTCTTTCAAAATTGTCAAACTTGGTCAGGGGATGATTTTCTCGGTGTGCTTACATACTGGTTGTGCATCATTAAGACTATTTTTAATTTTTCGCCCAGAATCCGCCTGTAGGAGGACAGGCTCGACCGACGCCTTTCGGAAACTTGGAAATGTGCATTACCAGTGTCGGGCTGTCTGCTGAATCCACGGACTCTTCGACGGTCGGGGACGACGTCGGCTTGGTGTGGTGTATATACATCATTCCCCGTTTTTCCTGGGGAGGCAACGGGAAATGTGTACGCAAGGATCCCGCATACACCAGGAGCCGCATTCCTGTGCGAATTTCTGTGCGGGGCCGGGAAGAGCGTCGTCGCATATATAGAGTGCGATTCTGTAGTTGTCTCTGCTTGTCGCCTGGTGTTCGGTCGCGGGCCCCTACTGCGCTGGCTGCACCGCGTACCTTGCACCACACAGCTTCCATCGCCGAGATTGCATCGCGTCCATGAAGTCACATCCGCAACCAGAGTTCGAACACGCCTCCCTTGCAACCCCCGCCATTTGTAAACATATCGTTTGCTGTGTCACAACGCACAATGACCGCGCAAGAAACCACCGCATCCGTAAATTCTGGACGTTTTGTGTTGTTGTTGGTTGTTGCGTATCGTCTGAGTTGTGGCTGTTGTTGACGAGTGTTGTCTCACGCAGTTGTTTCACGCAGTGGTTTCACGTAAGGATGCAGTCTTGCCATTTGCAGCGCGTCTCCTGTTGAGATTGCCTTCGGCGTGCTTGCGCGAGGCGGGATGGCGATCATGTGCGACGTTGCCCGTTTGTTTCGACGCACGCGCGCGCTGTTCAGGGGAGTTCGCAGTAGTATCAATGTGGCCACTGCGGCATTGCAGCTCTATGTGTTCGGCGGAACGTAACTGACGCCCTTAATCGCTTGCCAGCTGCGCGTGTCTTGCATGGGCGGATTGCCCCCGCGCAGCGCCGCTTCGCGCGGCGTGATTACGCCGATTCTTCGCGACGATGCGCTCCTTCATGCGGGCATCGCGCCTCCTGTGTAACTACGCCGCACGTCGCGTTCAGCATGCCGCCGAGCTTGTTCGTTCGAACATGCGCAGGGCCCCCGCCCCCCTCCTGACCTGGCTTGGCAGCTCGCCGATGCTTTGGAGTGTCTTCCCGTGTGGTTCGTCCAGCGCTTGCGTTTGATACGCTTGTTTGGGCGGTGGTCATGTGTTGCTCGCCTCTCGCCCGATCTCTTCCCTACAGTCGGGGCCCTGAAGAAGGAACCCTTTTCGTTGGGGAGGGGCTCGGTGTTCCTTGATCGTTCTGCAATTCGTCTCCGGTGTTCCTGAGGCTTCCCATGGGACATCGAAGTTCAATCTGTGGGAGGAAGGGGCCTCGTTCCTTATTTAGAGTTCCTTAGGTCAACGCCCCGACGGTAAACCCTCTCCATGTCTCCATTCGCGCCGTTTCTGTTTGTTGTCATGGCGCGCGCTTCGCAGCGGAGGGCCCCGTCGGGCTGTGGAGGGCGCGACTCCGAGGACGAAGCGTGCGCGCTGCGGCTGCGCGTCGGCAGCAGTGGGCGTGCGTCAGCTCGAGTTGCTCGCGGCAGGTCCCGCGTGCCGCGCCCAATGTTCGGCGTGGCGAGGTTGCGAACACCGCCCAGACATCCGTACCACGCGACAGCTCGTCGCCCATCCCCGTGCGGTGGGCTGCAGCACGTGGCAGTCTCATCCGCGATGCTTCGGGGCGCACTTGCTCGTTCTCTCCGTCGCCCTCCCCTGTCCCGCCCTCGCCCTGCTGTCATTCCTCCACAGCTTCCACCCCATGCTCAGTCTTTTCTTCTTGCCTCCCCTGGGGCGTTCTGGTGGCACTGGTACTTCAGCTGGTGGCCCTCGAAGCTCTGCTTGGTGTCTCTCACAGCTCTTCTGGCAGTCCTCGAGGAGCAGAGGGGTGGCTCCCGTAGCCCGGCACGCCCAGGCGGCTCAGCAGGTGTTCCCGAAGCTCCGCTCGGTGTCGTGCAGTGCCGCTCGTGATCCCCGCAGGTCTGCTGGTGGCCCGAGTGGCTCTGCGGGCTTCTGGAGACAGCTACGGAGGGGCCGAGGGAGGGGTAGGTCGTCCTACCTGGTCTGCTTGTGGTCCTCGTATTTGCGCGGCAGCTTCCACGTCGTAGTGTCCAGGGCTGCGAGGTGGCAGTAGCGTCGTCCCTGCTGGTCGAGGTATCTGTTCCAGCCAGTTGGCAGGAAGGCTGGTGCCGGTGACTCTCGTGTTTCGGCTGGTAGCCCTCGTTTGTGCAGCTGACGCTCCTCGGAGCTTTGCCTGTAGTCCTCGAAGCCCTGCTCATGGTACTGCTAGCTCAGCGCATGGTCGAAGTAGCTCAGGAATTACTCTTCGTAGCTCAGCTGGTGGCTGTCCTTCTGTGGCCTTTGCAGTTCAGCTCGTCTCCCTGGTAGCTCTGCGGGAGGCTCTCGTAGATCTGCTTGTAAACCGCGTGGCTCAGGTAATGGCCATCGTAGATCCGCCCGTGGCCTTCGTAGCTCTGCTGGTGGCTCTCGTGGCTCCTCTGGTGGCTCGTGTAGCTCAGCAGGTGGTCATCGTAGCCTTGCTTGTTGCTCTCATAATTCAGCCTTTGGTCCTCGTAGCTCAGGAGGTGGCCCTTCTTGTGGCGTCCGTAGCTCGGCTTGCGGTCGTCGTGACTCAGGTTGTGGCTATCGTGGCTGTGCTGGTGGCTCTCGTATATCGGCGGGTGGGTCTTGACTCTCTTCTGGTGGCTGTCGTAGCTGTGCCCCTCGCAGCTCAGCTTGTGGTCCTCTAAGGGCTGCTGGTGGTCTTGGTCGCTCTGCTGATGGCTGGCGTAGCTCTGCTCGTTGCCCACGAATCCCAAGTTGTGGCCCTCGTAGCTCACCTCGTGGCTCTGCCGGTGGCTCTCGGAGCTCTGCTCGCGGCTCTCGTAATTGAGTTTCTGTTTGCGGTAGCCTACCTGTCCCTCTAGCTCTGCTGGTGGTCAGCTGGTGGCTCTCGTGGCTCCGCCGGTGGGCCTTGTAGTCCCGCTGGTGGCTCACTTGGGTCAGCTCGCGGTGCTCGCAGCTCCGCTTGTGGCTCTCGTGGCTCTGCCCGTGGCTCTCGTAGCACGGCAGGTGGGTCTTGATGCTTTTCTGGGGGGTCGTCTTGGTCCACGTTCTTGATGTCCCTGTAGTCCTGGCGGCTGTCGTAGTCCCGCGTCCCGCGGCCTCGAAGTCAGAGTAGTCTTGGGGTTCGTCGGACTACAGGTCGCTATCGAGAAAGTTGTTGTAGTCGTACTCGTCGTAGGCGGCGCGGCAGCAGCCGTACTCGTCGTAGGCTGTGCGGCCGTTGTCCACCGGTACTTCCACGACAACGTACTAGTAACCTTTTCGGGCTGCTTGGTCGTGTCGTTCCTGGTGTCGGCCATGATGGCGTACCTGGTGTCGTAGTGGTGGTGGTTCTCGTCCTTGGGCTGCCTGTTGCGCAGCTCGGTCGCGTACTTGGGCTGCCTGTTGCGCAGCTCGTTTTCGCGTTGGGGCTGCCTGGTACACAGCTCCTCCATGGACGCTCTCGCAAGGGCGGTCATAGCAATGATAGTGATTTCGTCGAGTCGAGGCTGCATCCCATACCAGACGTTGTACCCCACTCGTTGTTTGACCGCTTATGTTCGCGACAATGTTCCTCTATGCGTATATGGTCTCGTTGTCTTTGCCGGTACGTTCTACAGCATTGGGTAAGTCTCGTATCTTTGTGGTTCAACAGTTGGTGATTGATGCTGGATTCGCGGTATGTCTTGGCTCCGAATGATCTCGATCGATCTCTTGTCGGTCTTGATGATGTTCGCGTGGATCTTGATGTATATCACGCTGATCTTGGTGATGATCCCGTAGATCGTAACAGATGTAACGAGGATCGTGAAGTATCTGGTGGCGAACGTATCGCACTGCGCGCTGTCTGCCGCGTGGTGGACAGCGCGTTTGGGCGAGCCCACCTGCCGCGGGTGATGGGGAGCACCTCCGCTGCAAAGACCAGAATGGGCTTGAGCCCAAATGGCTACGCACCCGCCCTCATCCTCCTTCTCCTCCTCCTCCTCCTCCTCCTCCTCCACCTTCTCCTCCTCCCAGACGCCGACACAAGCCCTCAGAGCGCCCGTGAACCTTTGGAGTGTTTGATAATCCCGACATCGATTCCCTTCCTTCTCATCTTCACATCGTCCAAGGCCCTCCTCCCTCCCTCCTCATCCCCTTCCATCCCTCCTCCACCTCCTCTCTCCCCTCCCCTTCCCAAGGATGAGAGGGTGAATAGGAACATGGAAAAGCAATTCAGAGGTTGGAGGAGAATGGATGGGAGAGGTTGGAGGAGGGGGAAGTTAAACGATCAGGACTAGGACGAGGATGAGAGTGGGGAGGTCGTCCTCTCGTCCCCCCCTGGGTGCCAGGATCAACCCGATCTTGGAGAGGAACGTGGGCAAGATGGGGCACAGCCTCAAGTTCGGCATCGGCATGGCTGTCGCGGGGACAGCGGCGGCGCCCGCATGGGGAGAGGGGATCCGCGGTCCGGATTTGCATTATTCCAGAAGGATCGGCAAAGGTGTTCGTGGTTCGGTCGGTTCAGCTGCGTCGCAGTCCGTTGCGTTCGGCCGGCTCGGTTCGGTCGGTGGTGTCTTTGCTTGTTGTTGCGCTCTGCTGGGCTGCTTGCGGCTTGTCGGTCTCAGTCGACGTTTCGCTGTCCGTTCGGTTGGTGTCAGGTATTGTTGTCGCCGTGGGCGGCCCTGGGAATGAGGGGAAGAGGGGGGAGCGGAGGCGGAACGGGTGGAGGAGGGGCAGTGAGCTTCGGCGAGGTTCGAGCACTCTTGCGCAGCAGTTTCGACGAGCTGCGAACGGCGCCTCGATTCAGTCCGACTGGGCTGCTCCGGCCACTTCCCCCCGCTCCTCTTGGGCCGTCTTGGAGCGTCGCGAAGCCGAAGTGGCGAGAGAATCAAACACGTTCAAACACCCACGGAATATCAATCATTCTGGCCCCTCGGGGCCCCTTGGGGAGGCCTCTTCGGGCTCTCTTGGGCCATCTCGGGGGCCTCTTGGCCCGCCTTGATACCATCTTGGGCGCGTTGGGGCGGTCCTGCGGCGACTGGGGGCCCTCCTGGATCGTCAGGATGGCCGCTTGCGGCCCTCTTGGCCCCTCTGGCGGCCTCTTGCCTGGCATCGCTCGGACGTTTGCGTTGTTTTCCTCGGCGAGGACCCTCGAGGAGCATCCTGGACCACTTGGCGAACAAAACCGCGCACGAAACCGAAAAAAAACACAGGGAATGGACGTCCGAGCGATGGCGAGTTTGGCCCCTCTGGCGGCCTCCTGGCCTCCGACACATGTCACGCGCGCGGCCGCGCCCCGGGCTGGGGGGGCACGCGGGAAGCAGCCCCTGGGGATCTCTGGCAGTGCGGGCTCCGGGCCCCGGACCGACCCTCGGGATCGAGGGTTGGGGCTCTGAGGAGGAGGGCTCCCTCGACGTTCTCTGCATCTGTCCTTTGGTGTTTACACTCTCTCTTTCTCTGTATGTATACATTATATATATATATATATTCATGTATGTATAGATGTGTGTCTGTGCTTCTCTCTTTGTCTCTCTTCCTCTATCGCTATCTCTCTCTCTCTCTCCCTCTTTATTATTATCTCTCCCGCTCTCTCTCTCTCTCCCTCTCTTTCCCAGCCTCTCTCCATCTCTCTGTGTGTCTTTCCCTCCGGATCTTGCCACTTCTTTGCCGACAATCGTTCCGCTGTCCCCGCCAAGCAGGATCTCTGTGATCATCGCGGCAAGGCTGGAGCAGGCGGTTGCGCGGGGGGGGGGGAGCCAGGAAGGATGGAGCAGGAGGAGGGGGGGAAGGAGGAGGAGGAGGATTATTTTTTGGAGGGCGAAGGAAGAGGAGAAGGAGGAGAAGGAGGAGGAGGAGGAGGAGTTTGAAGGATCAGAAGAAGGAGCAGAAGGAGGAGGAAGAGGAGGAAAAGTATCATCGGGAGAGTTTCACCAGGTACGCCTGTAGCCTTCTGGGGATCCCAGAATCGTCTCAGACGGCCGCCTCAGGGCTCGGGGTTCGTAGAGGGTGGGTTATGCTCGGGGTGGGAGCAGGGAGCGTACAGGGCCAGATGTTCATTCGTGCTTCTTCGGGAAGCCATTTCGAGCGATGTTCTTCAAACCACACATCTACCCCTGCCCCACCTTTACGTCCTCCCGAAGGGTAGATCTGCTTCTTGAGGGAACACTCACCTGGAGGAGGACGAACGGGGAAGAGGTACACGTACGCATACATGACATGTACATGAATCCACGTTGGTTTCGAGAACGCGCATTGCGCGCATGTTCGTATCGCGCAGCCAACCTCGCGGATCGAGGGACCGTGGTCATGTACATAGCTGGGCGCGTGCGTCCTTTTGTGGGCGCTCCAGGGTAGGAGGACCTCCTCGGGGCTCGCTTAGATCCCTCCGATCCGATTCGAGGCCGATGGCTTCCGCTTCCGATGCCGATTCGTTTGGGGGCGGGGGGGCCAGCCTCGCTCTGAAGATGGATGCGTGCCGCCCTCCGACCGGGCAGCTGCTGCGCGACTTCCTCTTGGCCGCTGGCCGGGCCGCGCGAAGGCCAGAGGCAAGAAGCTCGGCGGCGAGCGAGGGGCAGAAAGCGAGGGAGCCCTCGAGGTTCGAACTTCGAGGTTCGAGGTCTTCGGGTATTTTGTTCGTGATTCCTCGGTGGTCTCCCGCCCTCGGGATGCGTTCCAGCGGCTGCGCCTCGCCAAAAGCGTTTCGGGGGGGGCCCAGATCGTCCCGAACGGCCACCGGAGAGCCGAGAAGGAGGTTCTTAGAAAGGTGGGAGTTTCGGCTTCGAGGTTAGAGGCTGTCGGGCGTTCTCGTCGGCTCTCGACGGTTTTCCAGCGCCGATATTTGCCAGCAGCTGCGCCTCGCCGCAGGCGTTCCGGGGGTGCCCGCATCGTCCCGAACGCCCGCCGGAGACCCGAGTTATGATCCCCAAACCAAATTCGGCAGCGAGCGAGGGGGGAAAGTGAGAAGGAGACGGCCCTCTCAGAAGGCTGCGGGGTTCTCAGAAGCCCTCCGGCCGTCCGAGAGGTGTTCTGTGCCTTCGCGGATGGCTCTGGAAGCTTCTCAGGAGGCCAGGCGACTCCCGATCTTGCTAGACTGCCGATTTTCGCCGATCCGACTCATTTCGATCGCCGATCTGACTTATCGGTTCGATTCTGGGCTCTTCTGACTTCTTCTTTTGCGTCACTGCAATTATTTGGTGACGTCGGCCCCTGGGCTGTGTGTGTGTTTGCCTCGGCGAGGACCCTCGAGGAGCATCTCAGATCATCGTGCGAAAGCTACACTACACGCGCGGAACCGAAGCATGCACGGGGAACGGACGTCGCAGGGATGGCCAGGAAGGGTTACCACGGCCGACAGCTGTTTCTGTTCCTCTTGAGATTATGACGGCAAGACTCGCTGTCGGAGTCCCCGCACATCCATTTGAGACAGACTGCCGGCTGCCCAGGAGCGGCCGCTGTCGGCTGTGGACAACATGTGTGTCGGGCATCGTGCCCACGTTTTCCGTACCCATGTCCGTGGGTTCGCGCCATGTCTGACATCTTAATTTTCCCACCTGTCTTTTCCCATTGCGTTGTTTCTTCTCGAACCGCCGACGGGTGTCATAGCGGACCTGGAACTCCAAAGAGGATCCCATCGCGTCATGCGCAATTGGTACAAAAAGAGTTGCGGACCTTGGGGGAGGAGGTGGCGGAGCATGGGGAAAAAAGGAGGATGAGGGAGGACGACGAGGACGAACTTCAGCAGCAGGAGTTGGATTGGAAGGAGCGGGAGGAGCAGGATAACCAGGGGAAGGCGGAGAAGGGGAGCTGAGAGGGGCGACAACTATGGAAACGGAGCTGGATGCAGAATCGTAGCCTGTGCTGAGGCGAGAGCGCTATTCTGAACGACGGGAAGCGCTGATCTGAAGATGAGACCCACGCTGTAGCGGGACAAGCAGTCGTATCGTAACAGCCGTATCGGGAAGCAGTCGTATCGTAAACGCCGTTGCAACAACCGATTGTGGACGTCTGGATCGTACATACACTTAAATCGTTGAGACGGCCAGCTATCTTCATGACAGGGTCGTGGGAGAGAGGAGAGCAGTGTTCATAATGTGCAATTGTGGAGGAAAGGGGGTAAGGAGGAGCAAGCGGAGCGAGGGATAAGGAGAAAGGAAAAAGGAGAAGGAGCAGGGGGTAGAAGGCGGGACAGGGGGCAGGAGTCGTGGGAGGGAGCAGGGGGAACAGGAGGGAGGAGCAGAGCGGGGGGAGGGGGGAGGCTGTAAGTCGGGCGTGCCCCTCTGCAAGAGGAAGATTCGAATAAAAGTAGCAGTGCGGTGACGTTGTTTCGTACTCTTTGTTTTCTTGTTTGTGTCTGGACTAGTTTTATAGATTTTCTTCCAGCGTCCGCCTGCAGGAGGTCATGCCCGACCGAAGGGGAGGCGGAGGCAGAACCCGCCCCCGCGCCCGCGCGCCCAGGTCCGCAAGGGTACCGCGGTGCTGCCGCTGCAGTCCAACTGCGCGCCGCCAGGCGCTCCCGGCGCCGCCGCCGCCGCCGCCGCCGACGCCGCCGTCCTCGGCTTGGTCGTCGGCGTCGGCGTCGCCGTCCTCCGAAGAAGAAAAACGCGCCACACACATTCAAACATGTGGCGTTCCGCGCGGGCTTCTTGGATCCGCGCTGGGCCCCCCTGGCGGCACCTCCGGCGCCGCCCCTGTAGTCCGGATCCAGGAAATCCGCGCGGAGCGCCGATAGTTTATGTTAATGTTTTTTTTCGGCACCAGGATCGCATGATTGCGTGACCAGTTGTGATGCCTGTGCGTAGCGCTCCGACTGCTTGCGGCACCGCGGTGCACGCCGCGCCGTTTTGCGAGCGACAGGCCCCGCGCCCAGCGACAGATTTTATCTCTGCGCGAGGGAGCGGGCTCTGACAGACCGCCCGTCAACTTCCTGGCCTTTCCCACCACCAGAGCCAGATTCAGGGCCTCAACGTCGTTCGTCATCGCCGTCGCCGCCGCCGGGGTTGGCCTGGGGGGTCGTGTCTGTGTCTCGCCCCGTAGCCAGATGCGGGCCCCCAGGGGCCGTTCGAAGTCGGTCCAGGGTGCGAAACTATCCGTATATCCCCGCCCACCAAACCACCTCAACCCAACCCGAAGGCCCCGCTTTGCCCTCCATTTCCAAGGGGTGGGGGGTCGGGGAACCATGTGAAGCCCGTACCCAACCAACCCCCAACCCGAAATTCGGACCTGCGGGTTGGGTTGGGGTAGTCTGGTAGGTAGGTAGTCAGTGTACGACGCTGCGCTGATTCGGGTCGGACTGTCGTCGTCGTTCCCGCTTTTGACGAGGCCTCCAGGTTCGGATGCAACTCCTGGGAGGACAAAGTCTGATTTTGCCCTGGTCCGAAATCCGTCTTAATCCGGCTTGATCCCGCTCAGTCCCATTGTATCCGGCTCCATGACGCTTGTTCCGAGGCCCATTCCGGCGTAGCAGCCCCCTCTCATGGGGCGCAATTCTCCCTGATTCTTCCGACGAAGACCTCCCAGCAGCTGCATCACATACTCCAGGAGGGGCGCCCCTGTTTGGGAGCGAGGCTCGTGGGGGACGTTGTGTTGTGGAGGACGACCAATAGAGAGGAAGCAAGTTGCCTAATAATTCCCAGATGTCTAAAACATGTGTTAAACACGTTTGTAACATGTCAAAAGCATGTTGAAAACATGTGTATAACATGTTTCCCGCATTTTAAACACATTTTATATTCAATGATAGGACTGTTAGGGTGTCCATTGTCGTGGCATCCGCAAACGTTGTGGGGGGCCTTCCCTCCCGGGAGGCGAATACCCCCTCTGGCTGACCAAGGTTAGCGAGCCGCTCGTGGCCGCAAGGCGGCCGCGCATATTGGCCGACCCGGGTTTGCGAAGACCTGCGTTGCAGTTTTTTGTTCTTGCATTGCAGTTTTTTGGTTTCCTGCTGACCCGGGTCTGGATTGACCCGGGTCAGAAGATCCCCGAAGGCCAGCCTCGGCCACGCGCAGAGGGGGTCAGGGTTAGGTCGGGCGTGTCCTGCAGGCGAATGTTTGAACGAAGCTTTAAAGAGAGTTAGACATATCAAACAAAGTATGTAAAAAGACTCAACAGATCATCCCCTGACTATTTGTACTATTTGGGAGTATTCCTCCTGTAGAGGGACACGCCCGACCTAAGGGTAGGGGGAAGGGGGGGAGGCTTCTTTGAAGCACCCATGCTTCTTAGAAGGCGCGGGCCTTGTCTATATAGATGCAAGGCCTGCGCCTTCCCCTCCAGAAGCGAGGCCCATGCGAGTCGCATGGGCCAGGCCAGCCGCGGCCACGCGCAGAGGGGGGCAGGGGGAAGGGGGATGGCTTCTTTGAGGCACCTCTGATTCTTAGCAGGCGCTGGCCTTGTCTATATATAGATGCAAGGCCGGCGCCTTCCAAGAAGATCAGCCTGCTTCTAAGAAGCCTCCCCCCCTCCCCCCACCCCCCTCTGCGCGCCGCCAATCAGCGGAGGTACATGCCGTGGAGCAGAGAGGGTCCAGGTTTTGAGCCGGGCATGTCCCGCTACAGGAGGAATCCCCGATACTGGTACAAATAATCTGCGGACGATTCTCCGACCATTTTTGGGCTATGCTTTGCTGCCTGTCCAAATTTTCCGTCCAAGATCCGCCTGTAGGAGGGCATGCCCGACCGAAGTCTAGGGTCCATCGGGACCCCTGGGGCCGCGCGCTGCGGGCATCGCGTCGTCGGCTCCCTGGGGCCACGGCGACGTCCCCAGGCCCTCTCGCGTCCTGCGCAGGTTTGATCTGGACGCCCGAAATGGGCATGGAGAGAATGGGCACAATGCCCAACAAATCCCCAAGCTCCTCCTCCTCCTCCTCCTCCTCCTTCTCCCTCCAAATCCCCAAGCTCCTTCTCCTCCTCCTCCTCCTCATCATCATCATCATCCTTTTGGACGCCCGGAACGGGTACGGAAAGAATGGGTACAATGCCCAACAACAAATGTTGTCCCAGACCAACAGCGGCCGCTGTTGGGCAGGCGGCCTCCTGTCTCAAGTGGACACAGGCCGCGGGGCGACACCGACCGCGAGCCCTGTCCAAAAAATGAACAGGAGCTGCTGTTGGGCATGGCTGGCACCCATTCTTTCCGTGCCCAGTTTGGGCGTCCAGATGTAAGGCACACGTGGCCTCCAGGAAGCCTCGCGGGCGCCGCCCGAGGAGGGCCCGTGGGCACCGTCCCTGGGCCCCGGGGCCGCCGCAGCGGGACCAGTCCCATGGGAAGTGCTCGCAGAGGTCCTCGGACGGCGCGCCTCGAGAACAGCAGGGCGTCGGAACCTTCGTGGGCCCTGGGAACGGCAGGGCCGTCGTTTTACCCGTTCCGTTTCGCCGTTGTTCTTGGTGGCTCCGCTTCGCCGTTTCTTTACCGGTCCCGTCGCCGTTGTTTTCCCGGTTCTGGCTCCAGTTCCAGTGATGGAGCCGGTTTTGTTGCCGTTTCCGGTCGCCGTGTTTTTTTGCATGTCCGTTTTTCAAGAGACCCTTATTCGAAAACGGTGCAAAAAACGGCCCTGCTGCTTCTGGGGCCCATGACTCCAGAGGTCCTGGGACAGCGCGCATCGATCACATCAGGAGGTCGGAAATCATCGTCTGGTGTCTGGGGGTAGCTGCGGCCGCAGTCATGGATCGAGGGTCGAGGGTAATTTGGGCATTGTTCGGTTTTTGGGGGGTTCCTCAGATGGTTGGGTGTGGCAGGGATTTTTGTTAGCCGATTGTCCTCTGCCACCGCCCGCCTACTCTTGGGCTGGCCGGTGGCCACCCCTTGGGCATCCGAATTTCTGGGCGAGCGGAGTGGGTCGTCAATGCCCACAGCGTCCCCCTGGGGCAGGGACGGCCACGGACGCACAGCGGGCTCCTCCAATTCTACGACGTGCATCTTTCATTCCTAGAGAAGGAAGAGGAGGAGGAGGAGGAGGAGGAGGAGGAGGAGGAGGAGAAGGAGGTCCTCCGGTTCTCATTCTCCCTTCCCCCCGTCTAATGCTTACCTCCTCCCCCTCTCTTGCTCTTTCTCTGCCGATCGCCTCCTTCTGCCCCTATTCCTCCTCCTCCTTCTCCTCCTCCTCCTCCTTGTCCCACTTCTCTGCGCTGCTCACCACGTTACGAGCTTCCATTCCGAAGGAGGCGGGAGGCGACCGTGCGTGGGGCTTTTTACTACCGACGCCGAAGTTGTGGAACAAGGTGTGCATTCGCTCCTCTTTGGCTTGTTCTGCTGAGCAAGCGGCCTTCTGGGACACGGCCACCGGTGGATCTCTGGTTACGCATGTAACATGCAGCACCGAACATTCACGCGTTGCGTTGGCACGTTCGCTGTTAGACGAGAGTTCTCGTTCTCCCGGCTTCATGTACGCGACGCTACTCTTGGATGTGGCCAAAAAGATGCACGACACGGTGATTTTGGCCTTCTTGATGCAGGCGGCGTTGAGGATCAGATTCCCACCATTCATTGTTCGGTTGGGGTTGTGTATATAGACAGATATGTGTGTAAATGTGTTGTGTCACTGTTGCCAATAAGGCTCCAGGAGACCTTGATCATGATCTCCCACGCCCTGACGGTCACCACACCGAGAGTTGTCGGGCCGATCCAGAGTGTGCCGCTGGCTTCTTGCGAGGATGATGCTGCATCGCACCCTGGACGTTGCCCACCGCGCGTGCCCAGGGAGGCAGGGCTCATTTCGATTCCTCCGATTCGATTCGACTCGACTTCCATGGTTTCCGATGCCGATTCGGTTCGGCTTCGGACTCCAATTCGGGCTCCGATGTCTAAATGGAGTTCCGTTTAGCCTGCCGAGTTCCGCCGATCCGACAATTTCCCGACGCGGCTGCCGACTTGTCTGCCGATTCCTTTTATTTCGACTGCCGATCCGACTGTCGATTCGATTCTGGGCTCTCCTGCCCGGGAGGAAGATCGAAGAGGATCGAGGAGGAGGAGGATTGAGAATCGAGGAGGAGGACTATTCTTGGCTCTCTTGCCCGAGAGGTTAAGCCAAACTCCGCCAGGGCCTGGTGTTTTGGGGGGCGGCTCCTCTATGCGGGGGCGTCGGTCGGTATCGTTTAATCGATCCCCATCCCCATCCCCAGCCCCTTCGAGACCCCCACCAAATTTCCACCCCAGTTGGGGATACACCCCTCGAAACCCAAAGGGAACGACCTATGTCCCCATCTTGGGGGGTACATCGGCCAGTGAGGCCCAGGCCACGCCGCTGGGGATGGGGCTCGGTGGAACGCTACCCAGTCGGGCTCACATTGGGCAGCCCTGCTTCTGGCGCGCGGGGTGCCTGCGGGTCTCTCTCGCCTGGGCAGCCGTGCAGCACCGGGCGCCCGCACCCCGATCGGCTCGCCTTGTGCGGCGCGACGGGTAACCGGGGCCTCCTCGGCTAAGTCGGGGCATGTCCCTCTTGAGGAGGAACTTTTCAAAATATTACAAAAAATGATCATGGGACGTGTTTTTCAGTACTTTTGAGCATGTCTTGACTCTTGTTTTACAATCTGATTTGTTCTGCCAAATTTCGCCTGTAGGAGGACACGCCCGACCTAATCCTAGATGGGGCCCGAGTAGATGCGGTCGGTGGGTTGCGCCACATCGGCGATGCATCGGCGATGCATCGGCGATGCGACTCGATGCGGAACCCGAGTTTCCCCACGCCGACGTCGCCGATGCATCGTCGATGTATCGCCGATGCTGCGCGACCCTCCGAACCCATCTGCTCGGACCCCAACTAGGGCGTTGGTGTCGGGAGCGGGCCGTGGACCCGGGTTGTCGCAGGCGAGGTCGGCGCGGGGTCGCGGGCAGGACGCCGCGGTAATGCGCGCGTGCGCGCATTCACTCGGCTTTTTGGTCGGGGTCTTCCCCCCCCTTCCGAGAGAGGCCAGGCAGAGTTCGTGTTTTCGCGTGGTTGCCCTTCAGGCTCGTTCGTTGCCGCGACGGCCTCCTGCTGCGGAACGCCGTGGCGGGAGTGTCCCTGTGGCGGACGGGGCAGCAGCTTGCGCCTGGAGGTGAGGGCCTCTGGGACTCAGCGATCTCATGTATTGGGGCCCTCGGCATGTTTTGTTTTAGGCTAGACGTCGGGTCCCAGATCGATCCGCATACTCTTCCTCCTCCCTTTCCTCCTTTGCGCATCTCTTCTCCGCCCTCCACTCTCTGCTCCGTTCCCCCTCTCTTATTCCTCGTCCTCCTCCCCCCTCTCTCCATTCTTTCTCAGTTCTTCCCTACCCCTCCTCCTCCGTCAATCCCTCCTCCGTCCCCGGTCCCGTGTCATCCTCCTTCCCCTTCTCCATCTAGTCGATGTCCTCTTTCTCCCCCTCATCTCTTCTCATCACCTCGTTCCTCCTGTCCGCCTCATCCCCCCCGTTCTCCCCCGCCTTCTCTTAGTAAGACCCGAGGAGATGAGGAAAAGGACAAGGAGGAGGCGGGGGAGGCGGAGCAGGAGACACGGGCAAGACAAGAAGTGAGAGAGAGGAGAAGAAGGTTGAGGGGAAAAGGGGGTCGTCCTCCTTTCCCTCCTCCTCCTCTTCCGCCTCCTCCTCTTCTTGTCGACAGGCAGGTGCCAGGCATCGAACTGAGAGACGACCTATCGAAGATAATAGGTAGCGGGTTTGCTGACACGTTGATGGCCTCGGCAGTGAGAACGCTTCCCTTGGAGGGAAACGGAACCATCCGGAATGCTTCCATGCTGGTCCCGTCCAAACCTTGTGTTGGCAGTAATACTATGTTGGGCGTGTACCTCTACAGGAGGAAACTGTAAAAGTAGTGAACAATTTGTCGGGCGACGAACTTCGTCTTTGTATGTTTTGGACATGCCCGACCTAAGAGTAATATCGAAAACAGCTTCCACAGCGCAGCGCTGTGGGGGCAACGCCTCCCTTCGCGAGCTTCGAGCTCGGGGGCCAAGGAGGAGGAGGAGGAGAAGAAGGAGGAGGAGGAGGAGCTGCGGACCTTGGCTGGCTCTGGGAAAGCAGAGACTGGCCAGGGGAACGAACCCATGGCAGGCCAGGCCTGTCGCGTGCTAGCCCGTGGGTCGGAACCGCTGGAGGGAAACCCGGGCTCAAGTTCGGTGACTGTCGGTGGGAGTGGTTATTTTCAGGGGCGCGGGTGTGCGCTCAGGGACGTTGCGGACGCTGGGAGTGCCACTGAGATGGCCGACATTGCCCGGCGGAAGAAGCCCGCTTGGCCTGCATCGCGGGACCCCGCTGGGTGGGATCGCTGCAGAGAAGTCCGAGCTCACGTTCGGCGGCCGCACATGGGATGGTTATTTCCGAGGGTGCTGCAGCGATGTCCAATGGGATGGGCAGTTCCAACGGTGCTGCGGCTACTTTCATAGGCAGCTGGTTCGCAGCATTTGCTCTGGCAGTCCGTTGCCTGGAAGGGGGTGGTGCAGCACCAGGCTCTCCTGCGAGTGCTGGCGCCGATGCTGACCGCCGCGAAGGAGGTGCAGGAGGTGCTGCGAAGGCTGGCCTGTGGGCGTACTCGGTGGAGGAAATCGAGATCGCCACGGCCAACGAAAACAGCTGGGCGACGGGCCAGTGCATGATCGAGTGGTTCGGAAGCGGGAAGGCCTTCCCCAACAACGCTTGCATCCATCGGTGTCGCCGGGGCGAACATCGAGTGCTTCGAGGCGCTTGTGACCTCATCTCATGGGCCGATCGGGCGAACACGGCGGGGGTCAGACCGCGGGCACCGACGTGCAGCGAAAAGGATGCTGCCTTCGCCGTTTTGGCCGAGGTGTTCTCCAGCAGGGTGGATTGAGTGGCGTTCATCGGAGGTGGGCCTGCCGCTCCGGGCTCCGCTGTCTGCGCGCACCTCAGGGGGCTGAGCAGTAGGTGCGCGATCACCGAGCCCGTGCACCCAGGGAGGTCCCCGCTCCCGCTCAGGCTGCCGACGGAGCCAGCGCCTGAGCTCCTGGAGGAGGAGGGTTGGGGGTGGGAGATCGGCGGCGTGTCACGGGATGTCGAGCACGCGCCCAAGGTCTGGCTCACCATGGCCGCAGACTGCCCGACCAGACCAACGGCCTCAGCGAGGCCACCGCTCGCGGGATAATTCGCACAGCTGGTGGGCTGAGTATCGAGAAGGTTTCGCTTCGGCTGGAGTTGTCCTCCAACATCGAGGCCACCTCCAATCCTGCCTACCGCGCGCGGGCAGGCGTCACGGCTGCTTGCCGCAGTGCATCGCAGCTCCGAGGCCACATGGAGGAGTGAAAGTGGAGCAGGCATTTCAAGCTCGCTCGACGCGCAGATCAAGATCGCGCGGGGCTTTCGCATTTCCCACGGGCCAGTGGCCGCCGGCAGGGGCGCTCGAGGCTAGACGAAATCCATGCTGCCTGTGAGAATCTAGGTGGCAACTGTCTTCCTATGCCCGCGCCCGAGCCCGAGGCCCAAAACGTCAATTGGGGAGAGTGTTGTGGGCCTTGGGGCAGTCGGGGTTGCCGCGCAGCGGTTCCAGGGGCACTCCGCTGACAAGCGTGACGCTGTATGGGGAGGACGGCGGCCTCCCCCCCCGTCTTTTTTTGTTGCAAGTCTCGTGGGGCCCCACAGGGCTGGACCTAAACGGTGTTTGGGACGATTTCGTGGGCCGTCCTCGGTTCGATTCCGTGTTGCGGGGAAGGCGCATTGGAGACAACACGAGGGACAACGATAACAAGACGAAAACGAATAACACCGTTTACAGTGCCGTTTTTAATACATGCTCCGCGTGCGGATCATGTGTAAAAAATGCAGGGGTTCAGTACAACAAACAGCGAGACGTCCTTCATGCACAAATTCATTCACAACTTAAGCATGTATAAAAAATCAGATGCTTTTAAAACTTCCATGGATTCAAAACTGCCCTGTAGGCTCAGCCCCGGGGCCCCACGTGGGCCCGAGGGCCTCCACGGGGAGAGAGGGCGTGCGGGCAGGCGCGGCGGGGCCCGGCGCGCCGGCAGCGAGGCCCAGCGCTCTCGCCTCGGGCGGCGCCTGTGCTCCTCCCCCTCCTCCTCCCTCCTCCCCCTCCTCCGCCTCCTCCTCCTCCCTCCTCCTCCTCCTCCTCCTCCGCCTCCTCCTCCTCCGCCTCCTCCTCCTCCTCCGCCTCCTCCTCCTCCGCCTGTTCCTCCTCCTCCTCCTCCTCCTCCTCCGCCTCCGCCTCCGCCTCCGCCTGCGCCTCCTCCTCCGCCCCCGCCCGGACAAAAAAGGTCCTCTCCCTGGCGGCAGAGGCCCGAGCGGGGGCGCCAACGAGAAGGGCTCTCGCGAGGAGGCGACGGGATCTCAGAGTCTGGTGCGCTCGGGGGGCTGGCTGGGGGTCTGAGCTCTGCACTCCTCTCGGGCCGGGCGAAATGGGGGGGGAGTGGGACGGGGGGGGGGTTCGAAATCTGCTGCCTGCAGCCGGTTTCGGCCCCGCCGTCGGGCCCATGCCTCGATGCATGGGCGCCTCCTGGGAAAGTCAGCTACGTGAGCTGATTCTCAAACCCCCCCTTTGCCATCCCCCTCTTTCGCCCGGCCCAGAAAAGGGTCCTTTCTGGCTGCAGAGGCCTGAGCGAGAGCGCCACCGAGTGGCTCGCGCGAGAAGGCGATGGGATCTCAGTCTGGTGCGCGCGTTCGGGGGGGGCGGTGCTCGGGGTCCGGGCTCGCTGGCGGGCCGCGTGGGGAGTGCGGGCCCGGTGGCCGCGAGGGGCCCGTCGGCTTCCTGGCAGTGCGGGGCGAAGGGTCCTGTGCTGGACCGCTGCGGCGTCGGTCGCCTGCTCCTCGTTTGCGGGTCGCCCGGTGCGGCGGCTGAATTGTCGAAGCGGTCGGGGTGGGCGAAAAAGCTGGCCAACATTACCCATCGGTCGTTGAAAGTAGGTACTTGTGGAGTCCCAAATTCCAATCTATTCCAAGCGCCTTCGTACTTCAAGGATCCAGTGGCTCCACCTTTTCCGTACTCCCAAGGGGGCGGACAGAACCCAATCTATTTTCAAGGCCTTCCTACTTCATGCTTCTACCTATTTCTTCCGACCGATGGGTACCGATTCAGAGCTCTGGCCGTTCCCAGACTGGGAAGGGGGCCAGTTCGGGGCAGCCACGTAACGGCGCGGCGGACTCGTGGATGCACCGTTAACTACCATTGCCATTACGTCCTCCTCCTCCTCCTCCTCCTTCTCCTCCTGCTCCTCTCCCCCCTCCTCTACACTGTGTTGTGCTCCTCCTCCCCCTCGCTGTCCCCTCCACCAAGCCACGCGCTTATGGGGGGGCCCGCAGGCGTCAACATGTCGGAGCTCAGAGCGCGCCCCCTCCTGCGCGCCCGGCCCTGCGCGCCCGCTCGCACGGTGTCGGCCTTCGGCGGGAGTCGTCGTCATCGGCGTCGTGTTCCATCTCCTCGTCCTCCTCTTTCCTCCTCCGCCCTTGTCCTTCCATTTCCTCCTCCTCCACGAGTCCTCGTCCTCCTCCCCCCTCGTCGTCCTGCTCCTGTCGCCTCCCTGCCCGTCGTCCTCCACATCCTTCCTCTTCTTCTGCCCCTCCTCTCCCCAGCGTTGGCAGTCATTGTCGCCCTTCTCCTGGTCCTTGTCCTCCTCGTCCTCCTTGTCCTCCTCCTCCTCCTCTTTCTCCTCCTCCCCCTCCTCTTCGCGCGCCTCCTTCCTCCTCCCCAGGGGGCGGACATCGTCGTTGCCCTCGCCCTCCCCTCTCCGCTCCCGCCTCCCCCCAGGGGGGGGCGGGGCGAGCCGCCGCCGCTCCCCTGCGCTCCCCGGGCCGCAGGGCGCCTGGATGATGGTGCCCTACTTTTTGATGGGCGCGCCCTCCCGCCGCCGCTGCTCGGGGGCGGGAGGGCCGGCGAAGACGAGGGGGGGGGGGAGGGCGGTCGGAGGCGAGCCTACGGGGCGTGAAGACGACCACAGCCATTGCTTTTCTTTTGTTGCCGCCTTCCAGCCAGCAGAAACAATGCAGTGGTTGTGGTTATGTTCGTTAAGCTTGCCACCAGGGAAATGACCACAACCACTGCTTCTTGTTCGGCCGGCTGGAAGGCGGCGCAAACAAGAAGCAGTGGCTGTGGTCATTTTCCCGTCCCGCAGAGCCCGAGGGGGACGTGAGAGGGAGGAGGCCTTCCCTCGAAGAGAGGAGGTAACACCAGAGGCAGAAGCTTGTGGCGCTCCGCGCGGATTTTTTGCATCCGCGCTGGGTCTCCCCAGCGGCGCCTCCGGCGCCGCCCCTGGCGCGCTCCGCGCGCCAGGGAGGGGGGTCCAGGCCAGATCCGAGAAGTCCGTGCGGAGCGCCAAAAGTTTAGGCTTATGGCGTTGTTTCTTCTTCTATTCTCAGAAAGCTCGGAAGCCTTCCCCGATGCCTTCGGAGAGGTTGTCAGGACCTTTCTCCGAGACGCAAGAGAAGCTCGCAGAGGGCGCGAGGGCTTCCGGGAAGCCCCGCCGCCTTCTGAGAGGGCCATTTCCTTTTCATTGCCCACCTTCGCTCGCCGTTGAAGGACGGGGAGGCGACAGCGATCCGTTGGCAAGGCCGCGTCTCAAACGAGGCCCACGGGCCAATATGTTTTCGGGTCGGACGAAAGGGGGGGATTGGGATAGGGGGGGTTACGAAATTTGCTGCATGCAGCTGGTTTCGGCTCACCGAGGGGTCCATTCCTCGATACATGGGCGCCTCCGGCGCTGGGAGGCGCCGGGAAAGTCAGCTACGAGAGCTGATTCTCAAACCCCCCCTTTGCTATCCCCCCCTTTCGCCCGACCCGATGTTTGCACGTTGTGCGCCTCCAGGAATCGGCGGCAAGCGAGGGGGGGAACGCGAGAATGAGGAAGCCCTCTCAGAGTGCGGGCGGCGCTTTTCAGAAGCCCTCGCGTCTTCGGGCGGGAGATCCGTGCCTTCGGGGAAGGCTAAGAATATTTCTCCAAAGGCTGAGGGGGATTCTCCTCCTCCTCCTCCTCTTCCTTCTCCGTCTTCCTTCTCCTTCTTTCTTCTCCTTCTTTCTTGCTCTTCTCCTGCTAAGATCTCTTCATTATCCCCCATTCACAGAACGTACGGCCCTTTTTCTCCGTCCTTTCTCCTCTCTTTCCTCTTCCTCCTTCCCCTCCTCTCCCTCCCTTTCTCCTCTCTCGCCTCTCCCTCCTCATCCCTCCCTCCTCTTCCCCCCAGACTCGCCGCCGATTTGAGGCCGCTTCTCAAGCGAGGCTCACGGGTCGCCGTCCAGCAGCTGCGGCTTGCCGAGGGGGTGTTCCGGGTGTGCCCAGATGGTGCTGGACGTCCGCTAGAGACCAGAGGCGTAGTCCGAGAGCCCAACCCCCTCGCGCGCCTCGAAGCAACCAAGACGGGCGCCGCTTGGCCGTCGCGGGCCTTTGGAAGGCCCGTCTTGGGCTGTACAGTCGGCCCGGATTAGTAGGTCGACCCTCCCATGTCAAGGGTACCCTTGTATCCTGTGATTCGCGACCCACGCTGTCTACATTCCCACGGCGATATGGCCCTCGAAAGGTTCTTGTGTCCTCTCGCTTGTCCTCTCCAATCAAGCCCAGCTGTAGGGCCGAGCGCAAAATACCCCGGACGAAAAAATGCCCAGGGGGAAAGGGTCGGGATTTCCAGGGAAGACGTGGTGACCCGTCCTGGCGTTAAGTCGGGCCTGTCCCTCTACAGGGGGGGAATATTCAAGAATAGTCCCAAAATATTATGGGGACGATTTTTTGACTACTTCTGAAATCTTGGGGGGTACTTTTTGAGTACGTGTCATCCTTCGCCCAAAATCCCCCTGTAGGGGGAGACGCCCGACTTAATCCTGGCGTCTTGATGTTACGGTGCCCCCAGGAGTTACGCCCCATCCTGAGCGAGTGTGCTTCTGTTGTGTGACGGTCCCAGAGCCCAGAAGTGTTCTCTAGAGGTCCACTTCGAACGAAACAAAAGTGGTGGCACGTCTTCACTTCAGTACGTCATCCTTGTGGACTTTTTTGGGGGAGCGCAAGCTGAGTGGGGAAATGGGGGGGGCGTCGTGACTCTTCGATACGTTATGCTTTTGGACCTTTGGAGGGAGCGCAAGCTAAGCAGGGGGAGTTGGGGGGGATCTCCGTGCCTCTGTCCCTCCCGCTCAGGAGCGGAGCGGCCTCGATGCCCACGAGGACGGCGTCGGCGACGGCGGCCAACTTCCGGGAGCCTCCGACGAACATTCGAGAACGCTGGAGAGCAGTCGGCGACCTTTGATTATGCCGAGGAGCGGTCTCGATGCCCACGAAGACGGCGTCGGCGACGACGACTAGCCTCTGGGAGCCTCCGAGAGAACATTCGAGAACGTTTGAGAGCAGTCGGCGACCTTTCTGAGTCCGATCGATGTCAGCCGATTTAGACCTCAGAGCATCCTCGAACACGACTGGGCTGAGGTTTGCACGCTCCAGCCCAGTGGTAGCATTCTGCTCAAGCCAGTGCCATATGTCTACAAGTGCTCTCGTCTTGTGAACATTGTATCCACGTGTTCTTCCAACGGCCGCCAGCACTGACATTCAGCTAGCACATCGAAACTTGTGGATTTCTCATACAATCGCGGCACAGCCCCATGGGCATATCGGATCAGCAGAGAAAGGTGCATATACCAGGAGGCCCCGTGAGGCGCGTGTACAGCGGGGCAGGCGTGCGCCCGCAGAAGAGGCGTTCAGAGGCGAGACGGCGGAGGAGGAGGAGGTGGAGGAAGGAACGTTCCAGTGGTGGACTTGGCTTGCCTGCTTGCGAGCGCGGTGGCGTAGGCGTGGCGGAGATCTACACGCAGCCCACCCTGCTGCACTTCGCCTACTCGAAGAGCGCCGATCGCGTGGCGGAGAGGGAGAAGGAGGACGAGGAAGGAGGGAAGGGAGGGAGAAGAACCAGCGAGGGAGGAGGAGCCGAAGAGCGAGGACGAAGGAGGAACAGGGTGGGGGGGAGGAGAGGGATGTGAATGGACGGGGTTGGATGAGAATGGGAAGGAGGAGAAGGGAGAGGCGGAAGAGATCTGGGGCAGCGATGAGTAGGGTGTAGGAGGGTGAGAAGGAGGACCCGACGGAGGCGGGATTGATGGAGGGATGAGGGGTGATGGTGCTGCTGCTGTTGACGACGATGGTGATGATGCTGCTGATGTTGATGCTGCTGCATCTGATGCTGATGATGCTGCTGATGATGATGATGAGGAGGAGGAGGAGGAGGAGGAGGAGGATGCCCAGCTGGGGGATGAACAGAGCATCCAGCAGGGGCAAGTCCGCTTGCACAGATCTGTCTGATCCGATGTAGATTCTGGCCAGCCGATCCGATTCGATTCCGATCTTCGACGAACCGATACGACCCGATGTTTGCGTGATGCTGATCCGATTATGTTTCGACTGTGCCAGTGCAGCCATATCCGACTCAAAATTCATTTTGGTCCGACATCCCAATTCGATGCAGACTGATCCTGTCAGACGGTGCCCCACGAGAACTTGGATGAAGTGAGGCCACTTCGAGAGGGTTCCAAATGGTGTGTTGACGAAGAGCTTGTACCAACTTTTCAGCGCCTTCGGTTTCGATGCTCCTGCGATTAAAGCGTGACGTTCCCGCACCAAAAACCAATGGGCGTCTTGGGGTCTCATGATGGGGTTTCTCGAGGAAGGTTTCGTGTGGTCGGGCCCCCACTGTATTCGTCCCCCCCTCATCCCCTGCCCAGCCGCACCCCTCCATCCGCCCCCGTCCTATACCCGTTCCATCTTTGCGCGCGCGCTGCCCTCTCCGCTCTCTCTTCGCTCGACCTGCTCCTCGCCTGGCGCGAACGCGAGCGGCGTCTGGTTCGGTTCGTCCGCATTTGTTCCAGAGGTCTTGCAGTGCTTCCAACTTCCTGAGTTGCTGGTTCCTCGTGCTGAGTCCGCACCGCCGCTTGTCTCCTTCCTTCCTTCCTTCCTCCTCCTCTTTTCGCTCCGGGCTCATTTCCCGCGGCCTCGGAGCCACGGAATGGCCGCCTGGAGCCCCGAAGAAATGCACAGACCGAAACGCTGGCAATTGATAAAAAAGGCAACATAGCGAGTGAACGACGAGGGCGCACTTGGGCCATCATGTCGGAGCGGACCCGGCCCAGGCGACGACGAGCTTGTTCCCACCTTGCCTTTGTTGCTCCAAGCCTCCTGCGTGGAAAGGCGTTCTCCTTCTGAGTCCGCGGCGCCGCACGTCTCCTTCCTCTTCCCCCACCTCCCCCTGCCCATTTTCCGCACACCCCTCGCGCTGATCGAGGTCCCACGGGGAGCTCCACCTACGTAGCGCCCCAGTGGAAACGTCCGAATGGCGGCACCGCCCGCATCCCTCACGAGAAGTGGGGAACCTCCGCCTCGGGGCCCAAGCTTGATACTCAACACGACGGCGCTGCGCCAATTGCGGCGCAACACCCGGGAGCTCCATCTACGACCCCAGTAGGTGGGCGTCTGCCTGGCGGCCCCGCGCCCACTGTTCGCATGGAGTAGGGGGACGAACAATGACACAAACAGACTAACTCAGAGGCCCGCGCGGATTTCTCGCATCGGCGCTGGACCCCCCTTCCCTGGCGCGCGGAGCGCGCCCGGGGCGGCGCCCGAGGCGCCGCCATGGGGGTCCCTGCGCGGATCCGAGAACCCGCGCGGACCTCCGAGCGATTGCTAGGGTCGGGTCGGCCAGCCCTGAGCCTTTCCCAATCGCCCAGTGATGGCCCTCCTTCTCCTCCTCGTCCTCCTCCTTCTCCTGCTCCCCTCCTCCTCCTCACCTTCTCCTCCTCCTCCTCCTCCTCCTCCTCCTCCTCCTCCGTTCGTGTCAGTCTTCGCTCCCCCGATGGAGGCGCTGCGCCCGTCACGAGGCCCTCGCTCTCCCACAGTGAGCCCCACCTGCGGCCCCCACGCGGCGCCGCGCCGCGCCGACACTCAGCACCCGCCTCGCACGCGGCCGTGCCCCCAGGGGCGCAGGTGGCTCCACACACGCACGGCCCCAGCGGAGGTGCTCGCGCGGCTGCACCGCGCTCCCGTCGGCACCCACCTCGCACGGCTCGTGTCTCCGCAGGGAGCTCCGCCTGCTCCGACCTCGTGAGAAGCGTCGGGGGGGGGGGGGCGCCACCCCCGCCGACAGCCCCACAGCGACCCCCTGTCGCGGGCAGCCACCGCGCGCCGAGTGCGCTCCGATGCCCGTTGCGGCGCGACGACGAGGCGAGGGTGAGCCCCGTCGGAGGGTACCCACCCCCCACGCTCTTGGCATCGCTCGGACGTGTGCATGTTTCATTCGGCGAGGACCATCGAGGAACATCCTTGATCATTTGGCGAAACAAACACGCACGAAACCGAGCAAAACACAGGGAATGGACGTCCGAGCGATGGCCAGCGCTTGAGAAAACACCCAGAGTATGTCCCCAGTGAGGGCGTGCACCTGCCGCCCCCCCGCCCGCTTCGGCACACGCCCCTCACGAGGATCGCGCCCCACGGGGAGCCGAGCTCCGTCTACATCCTGCGACGCGTAGACTACACGAGCAGAGGGCCACGCCCTGCGCGACAACGCAGCACTGCGCGGTCGTGGCCCCTTCGCCAGGCGAACTCAAGAAGCGATCCATGGAGGTGATCTCCCGACGACGGGTTTTGTAGGGGAGCGAAGCATGACATAAACATAGCAACTCGGGCGGCGCCGGAGGCCGAGTTCCGCGCCGATCCGAGAAATCCGCGCGGACCTCGGAGTTATGATGTTTATGTCATTCTTCGTTCCCCTAGATCTCCAGAGAACGGGTTGTTGTCCCGTTTTGTTTCTGGCGGTCGTGGGGCCCAATGGAAGCCCGCGCAGTCTGGACGTTGCCAAAAGCCTTCGGACGCGAGGAGTTTGGGCGAATTCGACAGCATCCGACTTCTGCCGTGTCCTGTGACGCACACACACACACACACGCGCGCGCGGGGTGGCAAGGATGAGCATGCTTCATGCTCCGCGCACCCGGGCTGTGGAGCGACATGACTCTCCAGAGGGGCTGCGCAGCAGCGCGACGATGAATCGCATCTCGCGCGCTGCGGCCTCGCCAGGAGCCCAGGCCTGAGCCCCTTGGCGTGCAGGGAATCGACGCCACGGCAGCACACTCGGGGGACCGCGTGGAGGGTTTCTCCGAAGGGCTTAGGCGATCCGTCCTCCTCCTGCTCCTCCTCCCTCCTCCTCCCTCCTCCTCCTTCTCCTCCTTCTCCTCCTCCTCCTCCTCCCTGTTCCTCCTCCTCCTCCTCCTCCTCCTCCTCCTCCTCCTCCTCCTCCTCTTCCTCCCCCTCCTCCTCCCCCTCCTCCCTCCTACTCTTCCCTCTCGGGTCGCCTACGGCCCCAGGGGAAACCTTGCAGGACCGCGGCGTCGTGATGTCATCCGAGCCCGCGACCTGTCGAAAAAGAACACACTTGATAGTGTAAACTGCTGGAGCTGAGAGCTCGAAGTCAGGCGATCTGGATTCGGTCGCAGACATTCCACTGGTGGCCTCCCAGATAGGGTGCGAGTAGATGGGGTCGAATGATCGCTCCGCATCGCCGATGCATCGACGATGAGGCTCGATTCTTTTGGAGCCAGAATTTCTCCACGCCGATGGCGCTGATGCATTGCGATGCATTGGCGATGCGGCGCGATCCTCCGACCCCGTCTGCTCGGATCCCATCTCGGAGGCCTTCTTTAACCCACGTCCTCCCTCCTCCTCCCTCCTCCTCCTCCTCCTCCTCCTCCTCCTCCTCCTCCTCCTCCTCCTCCTCCTCCTCCTCCTCCTCCTCCCGTCCTCCTGGGACACCCGCTGCCTGATCCTCGAGCCTCGACGGCTGCCCGCTGCCCCGCTGCCCCCCCCGCCCCGCTCCCCTCCTCGGGCCTCCGGCGGCCCGCCCGCCTGTGCGACGAGCCCGCGGTGGCCGTGCCCGCCTCGAGGGGCCAACCCGCGGAGCGCGGCGCGGCGCACCGACCACCCCGCGCGCCAGGTCTTTTTCTGCGTCTGAGGTCGAAGCAGAGCACACGCCGCAAGCAGAAACGTTTGGCGTTCCGCGCGCCGCCGTCCTCGCTCGCTGCCCTCTCCTTCGCGCGCAGGTTCCTTCCCCGCTCCATCCCCCAGGTGTAGATGATTTCTACATGGACGACCTCAACGAGCTCACCTCGTCGATTTTGCTTCTTCTGTGTTTCTGGCGTGTGCGTTTCCTGTTCTGCGAGGGTCATGCTGAGCATGAGCTGTGCCCTCCTCCGGCTTTTTGGCCTGCCGACTGGCAGATTTGTGGACGGGGGGTCTCCAAGAGGCGCCAACCGGCGCCAGTAGTCGCGGATCTGCGCCAATGGGCGCTAAGAGGCGCTGGCAGGTCTTAAAAATCATTCTCACACATCGTACACATAACTTGGGCCGAGCATTTGTTGCGCTGTCGTCTGATAATCCAACTGCCGTGAAACGTACTCCGGGTCTCATCCTGAAAGGGGGCGGTCTGCTTTTTGGCAGCTGCCTGATGTGGGCCGTCTTGCAGGGCTCCCGGGGTCCGGGCAGAGCGCCGCCCTTTCATGGCTGGCCTGGGGCGGGGGGGGTCGGTCTAGACCTGCTCGTCTGGGAGGGCTGCGACCCGCCCCCCCGAATTATCCTGCAGCGGGGGGGGAGAACACGCAGACACATTTCATCGACGATTCCCTGGAAAGTATGGGCTAATGACTGGGAAGTGGGGGGGAAGACGAACATGCAGAGAGAGTATGGGGACATGTGGGGCATCCTGGGCGTTGCGTCTGTTTTCGTCTTGTGTCCCACGGTCCCTTCGGTGAGGACGTCCGGGGTTGATCTTCTCTGGCGCTGCTGCTCAGCCCTGTGCCCCCGCGTCGCGCTGCCCCTCTCCTGCGTGCCCCTCCTCGCGCCGGCGAGGGTCGTGTTCAGCTCCGCGGCAGCCTGGGAGTTTCGGGCGCGCCTCCCCAGAGGCCCGAGGCGCCCTGGACATGGATGAACGTTCGGCCCCCAGGGGCCAGCATTATATATATATATGTATACTTATATATATATATATATATATATATATACACGTATGTATGTGTACACAAACACAGGTGTATCTATACATACATATGTATTGAATCCACACGCGAGTATATTTATATATATACACTTCTATGTCTGTCTGCCTGCCTGCCTGCCTGCCTGCCTGTCTGTCTGTCTGTCTGTCTGTCTGTCTGTCTGTTTGTCTGTCTGTACATCCATGCGCCGTGCGCCTCTGCCTTTTGGCGCCCCTTCCAAGAAAACCCAAGGCGCAGCGAGGAGGAGGAGGAGAAGGAGGAGGAGGAAAAGGAGGAGGAGGAGCAGGAGGAGCAGGAAAAACAGGAGGATAATGAGCAGGAGGAGCAGGAGGAGCAGGAGGAGGAAATGCAGGAGCGGGATCAGGAGCAGGAGCATGGATACAAATGCTGCCACTCGGTGCGAGAGGAGCCCCGCCTCCATGCGCACGCTCTCGATGGCGGCGTCGTTCTTCATCCAGGCGGGCCCGGGCGCGCCCGGGGGCACCGAGGGCCCACGCCGGAGCGGAGGGCCCGAGATCTCCGACGACGCGAAGCCTCCGGGCTGCGCACAGGCAGCCTCCCCACCCAGACCCCCGACGTCGAGCCCCAAAGGCCTGACCTTTGTGGGCCCTGGAAACGGCAGGGCGTTTTTTTTTTTTCCACCGTTTCCCAAAACATGTCCCTTGAAAATGGAAACGGCAAAAAAACGGCGACCGGAAACGGTAACAAAAACGGCCCCAGGATAGGAACCGGAGCCGGAACCGGTCAAAAAACGGCGACGGGACCGGTAAAAAAACGGCGTTGGAACCGGCAAAAAAACGGCAAACGGAACCTGTAAAAAAACAGCCCTGTCGTTTCCAGGGCCCACTAAGGTCTGGACCCTTTTCCCCGGGACCGGCTTTTCATCCCGAGGCGCTTTGTGACGGTCCCGAGGCCCAGGAAGGACCCCCGCCGGAGGTGGCGACAAATTTTCCCGTCGTGGTTGTCTCGCAGCGCGAGGAGGTCTGGGCATGCAGTCCCGGCGGGCCTCAGCAGTTCCCCCCCTCCCATGCAGTCCCAGCTGGCCTGAGCAGGCCCCCTGAGGACAGCACCCCGCAGGGGCCAAAAACTAGACTTACGTCAGGCCTATCCCTCTACAGGAGGAATGTTCAAAAATAGTGCAGCAACTACTCCTGGGACGAGGTCTTGTATCTTTGACGATTTGGGGGCACTCGTTTCGCGTATTTCTCATTTGTCCATCAAAATCCGCCCGTAGGAGGACAGGCCCAATCTCAAACTAGACGTTGGAAGTCTGGGAGGAAGCAGCCGCAGTCGAATGAGTACGAAACGCAGGGGGGGCAGACTAGCATCGCGGAAGTACGCCAATGTCAAGGCGGCTGCGGGCTACGCGGCGGCGCTTGCCTCCAGCAAGGGAGGTTTTGCTGTTCACTTCTCGACCCGGCAGGAGGGAGGACGCAGGAAGAATCCAGACCTTTGACCTTTGAGATGCAGACCCGAATATCCGACGTCTTGACTTTTTCAATACGGGTTTCTTGGAGATCCCGACACGTTCCGGGCGGCACTCGATCCCCGAGTTCCGCCCGGAAAGTGACGCCGCTCAGAAGGGGGGAAACTCTGGGGGACACCCTTGCGGGGCTATTCGTACGCACCCCTATCGAGGGCGGCGGCGCGACGACGCGAGGTGGCAGCGGGTGCGGCGTGACCCCCCGCCCGTGAAACCTGCGCTCCTCTTGTTCGTTGGGTTCTGTCTTGCCTGGACTTGCAATGTGGTTTTAGTTCTCCTCACTGCCCTTCTCGGGTATCCCTGTCCCCTCCCGTCGGTGAGGTTCATCATCGGCCTTACCAGTGAGGACCGCCATGTGGCCAAGCGCCCTCCGCAGCTTCCACCATAGGGGCCGCCAGGGGGAATCACAACGAACCTGACACTGACGACGGATGTCGAAGACGACGAGTTCAGCGACGACGATACCGACGACCACGACTGGGACTATCAGTGCGAGTGGGCGCAGTAGCACGAGTGCGGGGGGTGCGTCTGTGGGATTCGTGCCGCCTCTGGAAGGGCTTCCCTGGGATGGGGGTGTAGGGGGGTTGGAGCGAGGTGATCGACCGGGGCGTGGCACCGCGAGGTGGCGGCGGGTGCGGCGTGACTTCCCGCCTCTGGAGTTCCCGATCCTTTTGATCGTGGATTCTCTCGTGCTTGAGCTGGCACTCTTTTCGCATTGCCTCCCACCGCGCACACTGGCGACGACCATCATAGATTATAGGCCTTAACCCCACACCAACCACAGCTTCCATCATAGGGGCCGCGGGGGCTGATCGAAGATGAGGACTTCGGCGACGACGACGATGGCGACGACGATGACCACGATCGGGACGGCCAGTCCGAGTGTGCGCAGAAGCACGAGTGCGGGGGGGTGCGTGCGCAGGATTCGTGCCGCCTCTGAAAAAAAAAGGCCTTCCCCTGGGGGGCGGGGGAAGGATCGAATGGTTCGACGGGGGCCGCCGCGTGGCGGCGGGTGCGGCGTGACGTCCCGCCTGTGGACCCCCGCTCCTTTCGACTGTGGGTCGCTGCGTGCCTGGACGGGCGCTGTGGTTTTAGTTTCGTTTCGCTGCCCCTCTCGTGTGTCCCTTTTGTCACCCCCACCCGGTGAGGGCCATCATCGGCCTTACCAGTGAGGACCGCGATGAATCCTCACACGCTCCGTAGGGGCTGCAGAGGCTAAATCCCGACGAGCTCGGCACCGTACGTGTAGTGCCAGGGGTGGCGGCCCGTTTTCGCAACCCACCATCATAAAGGGATTGAAATTTCTTAAAACGGGACGGGGTGGGTGCGAGTAGGTGTCATAGACGGTTCCGTTAAAGAAACAACCATTGACAGTTTCCCGTGGCACCCATTCCATGTGTAGCAGCATGCCGTTTCCCACCCACCCCCACGCTCTTCGATTTAGACGTGGCCCATACCCCATTACTAAGGTGGGCGAGTGACAGGGTGTGGACAGTGCATATCCAACATGTGCAGTCCATTGTTTCTTCGTTTGGGGTCGATGCATCACGTAAGCATCTTCGACGTAGACGTGGTTCATACTCATCACTATGGTGAGCGAGTGGCAGGGGGTGGAACATGTGTATCCATCATGTGCAGTCCTCTTTTTTTCCGTAAGGGCTTCGCCCCATGCCGCCGGCCCCCTGTCTCGGATAATGGGAGATGCAAAAGCTAAATCATGAGGTCTGGGCGCCGCCGTGAAGCAGTGTTGGGACCTGTTTGTTTTTCGACCCTGACCCTAAGGATCTGCATCACGGGTGCCACCGAATTTCAGAAATGTGGCAAATCCATTATGTTTTTGGACCCTGACTTTACGGATCTGCGTGAGGGGTGCCGCCGAATGTCAGAAATGTGGCAATTCCCTTGTGTTTTTGGACCCTGACCCTGCCGATCTGCGTGAGGGGTGCTAGCGAATTTCAGAAATGTGGCAAATCCTTTGTGTTTTTGGACCCTGACTTCGCCGATCTGCGTGAGGGGTGCTAGCGAATTTCAGAAATGTGGCAAGGACCCTGACCCCGCCGATCTTTGTGAGGGGTGCCAGCGAATTTCAGAAATGTAGCAAATCCTGTTTGTTTTTGCACCCTGACACCGCCGACCTGCATGAGGGGTGCCACCGAATGTCAGAAATGTAGCAAATCCTTTGTGTTTTTGGACCCTGACCCCGCCGATCTGCGTGAGGGCTACCAGCAAATTTCAAAAATGTGGCAAATCCCGTATGTTTTTGGACCCTGACCCCGCCGATCTGCGTGAGGGCTACCAGCGAATTTCAGACATGTGGCAAATCCCTTTTGTTTTTGGACCCTGACCCCGCCGATCCGGTGAGGGGTGTCATTTCCTGCCCACCCCAGCAATTCAGAGCACACGCTCAGGGCGTGGTAAAATACCTGTTTGGGCCTCCCCCCCTCGCGCGGTCCATCAAAAAGGAACAGTAAGCAGCAAGAAGCAGAACTGTCTGGAAGCTGCTACCGGTACAGGAAACTGCGAAGTGTCGGCCTACAGCCTGGTGGCCCCACAAGGGGGCCGGCGGATATCGCTCGGGGTTGATGCATCACGTAACCATCTGCCCCATAGAGAAGGGATTTGGAGGAGGAGGAGGAGGAGGAGGAGGAGGAGGAGGAGGACGGGGACGGGGACGGGGAGGAGGGGGAGGAGGAGGAGGAAAAGGAGGAGGAGGACGAGGAGGGGTAGGAGGAGGGGGAGGAGGAGTAGGAGGAGGAGGTGCAGTCTTCTGTCTTTGTTCGTTCGGGTCGGCGCATCACGTAACCCTGCCCCATGGTGGCCTTCGCCACCCCCCCACCGCAGGCCGTGTCGTCGGCGCTGTTCGCCCTGCTGGTCAAGGCGCTGAGTTCGTGACCCGCCGGGGGGGGGCGTCCGCCTCGCCGTCGTCTTTTGGGGGGCTCGGGGCTCGCAGATCGAGGCTCGGGGATGAAGGCTCGAGGCGTGGGGTATTGACGCTCGCAGGTCGAGGCTCGAGAGTCGAGGCTCGGGGATCAAGAGTCGAGGCTTGGAGGTCGAGGCTGGATGCGCCGCCCCGCGCGCATTTCCACTCGTCCCGGCGGGACACTCGGGGGGAGCCAGCGACAGGCAGGAGGGAAGCAGAGACGCATGCGCACATCTTCACCAACACAGGAGGAGCTCTTGGCAGAGAATGGAGAGACGACATGATCAACGGATGACCGACAGACGACCCGTTGTGACTACAACAGAGTCGTTCACGCAAATGAGCGCACACGGGGTTGCAGAGGGGGTTCCTGGAGTGAGATTGGATGTCTGGTTTCGGGTTGCAATTCGAGTATCCCGGCGGTCCGCGCGCGCAAGCTGTTCAGGAGAGAGGTTTGTAAATTGGTTGTAGCATGCAGCCCATGCGTGTTGTTACCTTGGTGATGCCACAGAAGATTCCGCGTCATCGGCCACGTCTTTCTCTCTTCGGTTTCTGTGACACCGTACGTTTTCTTTTCAGGCATGTCTCCGTCCTTGCCCACTTTCTCTGTCCCGCTCCTCCGTTAACTTCTTTTTCTCCATCATGGATTCGGCGTCCTTTGGTTTTGCCTCATCTGTGCGATGCTCCTTCGGCGTCGCATTGCATCGGTCCTTCAGAAGATGCAGCGAGCTTGCTCGCAATACTATGTCTGCTCCTGGCTGCATGCCCTCTTCCACGTCCAGTCGTTTGGGATGAGCCCGTTGATACTGCCCCCGTCGTTGGTGTTGCTTGCAGCAGATGGGTTTGGTACCCGTATGCGTGATCAAGTCAAGCGCTGGCCGCTCCACGAGGGTTTCCATTCGAGGTCAGCCTGGCGGTTCACGAGAGGCCCCAGCAGAATTCCAAGAGGCCTCTGGGTGGCCCCCACCGGCAGCCGCACGGCGAACCCATGCTTGAGCAGCATGCCGGGTTGTTCCTTTGGACACTCCAACAGGAGGGCTCTAGGGCTATGTTGCTCCCGTCGCTCCTGGAAATAATTTCGGACACCCAGCAAGGTGTCGAAACAGTGTCGAGCGAGTATCGCCCTCCAGGGCCCCACACGTGACGACCCTCCAGTGTTGGTATGTTCGCGGTGCTCGAGATTTTTTTTGGGGGGATCGAGGCTGAAGCAGGTCTGCACCTCATAACTCTAGGAGCGAGGTGCACCGCAGGTCGCTCCCCCCCCCCCCCCCCACAGCCTGCTCGGCGCGCGGGCAGGCTCTGCCCGCCCTCTCTGAGCGGTGTGGGGCATCGGATCCGGATCACTTGCAGCGGAGAGCCAGGCCAAGAAAGCCCCTGCTTGCCTCCAGGGTGCCCTGGGTTTCTGTCTGGCTTCGGTGGCCTTGCTTCGAGGAGCGTGACGCTCCCAGGCCGCGCATCCATGGGCGCCCTGGGGTCTCAGGGCTGCGTCTCTTCTGGAAGGTGTACTGTGGACTGGCCTCCCCTGTACACGAGCATGTTCCAGGAGGAAAAGAAACACACAGACACAATGAATCCTCGATTCCCCAGAAAACATGGGAAAATATGGGAAGTGGGGGGAAGACAGAAGCTCAGAAAATATTGGAGAATATGGGGATCTTTTTTCGTTGTGTGTATTTATTTGCGCGTCCCAGGGCCCCTTCAGTGCTTCTCGGCAGCTCCGGGAGCCTGCCTGCGCGAACGTCCGCGGGCCTGTGCTCACGCCGTGGCGTGCTCTCCTCCCGCGCGGGGCCGGGTTAACCCACGGGCCGCCGAGGCCCCTCCGCGGGAGGCGCCCCGCGAGGAGTGCCTGTCGGCGGGGCCGCGCCCGAGCGCCGAGCGCCGGTTGGAGCACCGCCCAGAGCTAGAAGCCCGGATGCAGCAGCGTCGGGGGACCTCCTCCTCCTCCTCCTCCTCCTCCTCCTCCCTCCTCCTCCTCCTCCTCCTCCTCCTCCTCCTCCTCCTCCTCCTCCTCCTCCTCCTCCTCCTCCTCCTCCTCCCTCCAGGCTTCAGCAGGCTACGCAGAAGCGACCGGGCGTCGTGCAGGAGAGAGGCAGGGCGAATGAGGAGGCACAGGAGGGCGGAGACGAGGACAAGGAGGGAGAACGAAGTCGGCGAGGCCGCGAGGAGTGTCGGCGGGGCCGCGCGGGAGCGCCGAGCGCCGGGGAGCACCGCCCATGAGCCAGAAGCCCGGATGCAGCAGCGATGGCGAAAAAAACACACGAAACCCAAGAAAACACAGGGAATGGACGTCCGAGCGATGGCCAGCGACCAGGCGTCTGGTTTGGCCCTGGCTTCGTGCTCGAGCGGTCGTTGACGCCCGCAGGTGGCCTTCCTGGCCTTCTCGTCCAGCCCCCAGGGCTCCAGAATGGTTCCGGAGGCAGCAGTGAAAAGCGAAATGGACCAGCCAGGAGAGCAAATCGGGGGTGGACAGAACCCCCAGCAGTGACACGTCGATTCGTGAATGGTCCGCTTTAGGTTCTCGAGAGGGCGCCGTGGCCGTTATTTTCCGGGCTTGCGCCCGCCAGGTTTGGGCCTCAGGTGGTGTTCACGAAACCACGTTTCACTAAATCACTAAAGGGGGGTCTGTTCATCCCCGACAACGGGGACCTCAGTGAGGCCACGTCTTCGCTCTGGTGTTGGGGTTAGGGGTTCTTTTATCGGGGGCGGTAGATAGGGGGGTGAGGACCAAGGGGGGTGGATAACATGGCGGGGGCCATGAGATCTCCCCAGATCTCATGACGTCCCTGGCCCCCCCGCTGGGCCGCGCACATGCCGCCGGTCATGATTTGCACCCCCCCTCTTGGACACCCCCCTCTTGGCCGCTCCCGATTTTATTCGGACGTTGACGGACCTCCTACCCTGACACGTCGATGAGCGAATTGGCCGTTTTCGGTTCGCGAGAGGGCGTCGCGGCCGTCATTTTTGCGTGTCCAGGTCCGTCGGTTTCGGTCCCAGGCCGTTTTCACTACAGGGTGGTTTGCTAAAGAGAGGTTTGTCCACCGCCGATTTATCCTCGATGACCAGGCTCCTCTGGCGAGAGGGCGCGCTGGGCGCAGGTACATCCCGAACGACCTGAACAACGGGCATCTGGAGCCGGGGGTGCTGGCACGCGGCCGCTGCCCCAGGCATCCGGGAAGGCCAGGGTTTCTGCGCGTGGGCTTCGGAGGTCTCGGAGGTCTGCGGAGGCTTTCGGGCCTGGGGTGGATCTCTGTAGGCCTCCTAGATGGGATCCGAACAGATCGGGTCGGAGGATGGCGCCGCATCGCCGATGCATCGACGGTGCGGCTCGATGCGGAGCCCGAGTTTCCCCACGCCGACGTCGCCGACGCATCGCTGACGTGGCCGATGCATCGCCGATACATCGCCGATGCATCGACGATGCGGCGCGATCCTTCGACCCCATCTACTCGGACCCCGTCCAGGAGGCTTCTTATCTCGAGGAGGAGAAGGCGGGAAGCAGGAGGCGGGAGCAGGGATGGGCAGGCTGAGGGGGAGGGGGAGGCCAGGGAAGGGCTGAGGTCGGAGGGGAGTCCGGCGGGCGCTTCGCCTCCGCTGGGCAGAGCCAGGGCAGCGCAGGAGGCACAGGTGTGCAGCGCTCGCCCTCGTCCTCCGCTGCAGGGCGGCCGCTGCCAGGGCTGCGTCGTCGCAGGGCCCCGGGAAGTCCCAGCTCTCTCCTCCCGGGGGGCTGGCTCCGCACCCTGGGTCGCTTGCTGGCGGTCCTGGTGTCCCGGGGGGCCCCAGACGGGGTGGTGACCACACACTGCGGCGAGTCGGTGGGGATTCGGGGTCACCGCACGGTTTGGGGACTCGAGGCTTTGTCCGAGGACGTCTCTGGCGACAGGGTCCTCCAGGGTCCCAAGACCGTGCGGTCGCCGCACGATCTTTCACCGCACGGTTTCTGGACTCGAAAAACCCACTCCAAGACGTTGAAAACTTAGGACTACGTCGGGCACGTCACTCCACAGGCGGGTTATGCAAACATTGTTAAACAAATAGTCTGGGGACTACTTGTCGACTACTTTCTTGACTATGTTTGGGTTTCGCCCAAGACCCGCCTGTAGGAGGACATGCTCGACCTAAATTTAGGACACCTTCCCCCCCGCCCCTTCTCATCCTCGCCCCCTCCCTTTGCCCGTGGTCCTCTCTTCTTGCACTTGCCGCTTCGGAGGCAGGCCAGCCGCCCCGGCCTCGTCCCCTTCGCTTTGTATGGGAAGGGCGGCGACGAGGGCACGGCGGCCCACGTCTGCGCCGCCCCGCGCGTGAGGAGTACGGCTACTACGTCAACATGGTGCTCGGTCCGCTACCCGACCTCCCGCGAGGAGGAGGAGGAGGAGGAGGAGGAGGAGGAGGAGGAGGAGGAGGAGGATCGAGGAGGTAATCGAGGAGGTAATCGAGGAGGAGGAGGAGGAGATCGAACAGGAGGATCATGGAGGAGGGTCGTGCAAGCTGCGCTGGCTGTGCCCGCTGGCCAGGACAAGGTGCGCGTTCGAATCCATCGCAACGTAGACGCTTCGCGCAACCACACCAGCCCAACCAGGAACGATGCCCAGGCGAGTTGCCCTGATGAGGGGTGCGGGGGAGCACGCAGTTGGAGAAGGGCGAACAGGAAGGCCAGAGGCCTGGCGGATGCCCGTCGGAGGCTCCTTGGGTGTCTCTCGAGAGCAGTTGGGGCGTCTTTGGAGCCTCTGCGCGGCGCCTGGGGCCTCTTCAAGCGTCTTGGGTACCTCGGGGATGGGCTCTTGAAACCTTTTGGGGGTCTCTTGGGAGCCTCTTCGGGGCATTTTGGGCGCATCTTGAAGTTCTCTTGGGGCATCCTGGGCGCCTCTTGAGTCCCTCTTGGGGCACCCTGGGCAGCCTCGGGGGCCATCCTGGAGGTGATCGATCAAAGAAAGGGGGGTACTCAATTCGCGCCCCCCCCCGGAGGC